TTTAAGTACATCCAATAATACAAACACCAAGAAATGACCTCGAAAAACCCATATATAGTAATTAGTATTGCAAAGTAATTAAAATATTCTAAAAATCATTTAAACATTTTCTAAAAAGCCATTTGAACAAGTTATAATCAAGATATCAAATTTGGTTAATAGACTTAAAGCAGCACATTCAGGAGTACCTATACTGAAATTTCTTGAACAAAAATCCATTTTTTTACGAAAATGACAAAAATTGTAAGTCTTATGCCTTAAAAGGATTTTTGGCCAAAATACTTTTTCTCTCTGAACTAAAATTTAATGCGCCTAACAATCACACATCCAGAACAATACACAAGCACCAAGAAATGACCTTGAACCGAGCAGGCATGGTAATTAGTGATGTTGCAAAAGTACTCAAAATATTCTAAAAAATCATTTGAACATTTTCAGTGCTTTCATTTGAACAAGTTATAATCAAGATATCAAATTTTGGTTAACAGATCCTACAGCTCATTCAGGAGTACCTATACTGAAATTTTGAACAAAATCCATTTGGCCGAAAACTGACAAATTTGTGTTTTGGTGCCTTTAAAGGATTTTGGCTAAAAATACTTTTTTCTCTCTCTGAACTAAAAATTTAATGTGCCTAACTATTTAAGTATCCAATAAATACACAAGCACCAAGAAATGACCTCGAAAACCCATAAGTGGCGAAAAATTAGCATTGCAAAAGTAATTAAAAATATTCTAAAAATCATTCGAACGTTTTAAAAAGCCATTTGAACAAGTTAGAATCAGAGATTAAATTTTTTGGTTAACAGAGATCCTACAGCATTCCAGGAGTACCTATACTGAAATTTTGAACAAAAATCCATTTTTTGGCCGAAAATGACAAAAATTGTAAGTCTGAGTCTTTAGCGATTTTTGGCCAAAACATTTTTCTCTCTCTGAACTAAAAATTTAATGTGCTCAGAATATTTAAGCACATCCAGAATAATACATCGTTCCTCAAGAAATGACCGAAACCCATTTTGCCTAGAATCAAAGCCATTTGAACAAGTTATAATCAAGATATCAAATTTTTGCTAATAGATCCTAAGCAGGATATTCAGGGGAGTACCTGTACTGGGAAATTTTGAACAAAAAAATCCATTTTTGAAGAAATAATAGCACCAAAGTCTGAGTGCCTTAAAGGATTTTTGGCCAAAAATACTTTTTCTCTGAACTAAAATTTAATGTGCTCAATCTATTTATGTACATCCAGAATAATACACAAGCACCAAAGTTTGGTCTAGTCCAAGTAAGCAAGTAGTAATTAGCATTGCAAAGTAATTTCAAAAATATTCAAAAAATCATTTTCAAATGATTTACAGTTATAATCAGACATCAAATTTTGGTTAACAGATCCTTACAGCACATTCAGGAGTACTCTATACTGAAATTTTGCATTAAAATTTGATGTATTTAAACTGACAAAATTGTAAGTCTTATGCCTCAGCATTTTTGGCTAAAAATACTTTTTTTTCTCTCTCTGAACTAAAACTTATCAAATAACTATTTAAGTACATCCAGAACATGGTTATTCAAAGAAATGAGACCTCGAAAACCCATATGGCGAGTAATTAGCATTGCGAAAAGTAATTAAAATATTCTAAAATCATTCTAACATTTTCTAAAAGCCATTTGAACAAGTTATAATCAAGATATTTTCAAATTTGGTTAATAGATCCTAAGCAGCACATTCAGGATTACCTATACTTGGAAATTTTGAACAAAATCCATTTGGCCGAAATGACAAAATTGTAAGTGCCCGTGTCGCAAAGGATTTTTGGCCAAAACATTTTTTCTCTCTCTGAACGAAAAAATTTAATGCCTAACTATTGCCACATCCCAAATAATACACAAGCACCAAGAAATGACCTCGAAAAAAAATCCATAAGTGACAGTAATTAGCATTGCAAAGTAATTAAAATGATTTAAAATCATTTGAACATTTTCAAAAGCTATTTGAACAAGTTAAAAGTAATTAAAATATTCAAAAAATAATTTGAACATTTTCTAAAAGCCATGAACACGTTATAATCAAGATATCAAATTTTGGTTAACAGATCCTTAAGCAGCACATTCAGGAGTACCTATACTGAAATTTTGAACAAAATCCATTTTTTGGCCGAAAATGACAAAAATTGTAAGTCTTATGCCTTAAAGGATTTTTGGCCAAAAATACTGTTTCTCTCAGAACTAAAATTCAATGTGCCTTACTACTAAGTACATCCGGAATAATACACAAGCACCAAGAAATGACCTTGAAAACCTAAAAGTGGCGAGCAATTAGCATTGCAAAAGTAATTCAAATTTGTCTAAAAATCATTTGAGCAAACAATAATCCAGATATCAAATTTTGGTTAACAAATCCTCAAGCAGCGTGTTCAGGAGTAACTATACTGAGATTTTTTGGACGAAATGCCAAAAATTATAAGGCTTACACCTTGCAGGATTTTTGGCCAATAATGCTAAAACATATTTGGTATGTGAATGTTCACTTAACAATCTGGTTTTTATGAAGGCAACCCAATTTTATACCAGGGGGATGCTAGTTTATACTGCATAATCACCATCTTGAAGTCATTCATCAACTAACCACGAGAACCACCTACCACCACACCATATCACTTTTGACCACACTACATCACCCAGCACCACATCACTCACCTACCCCCACATCACCCCACCTACCATCACATCGCCACCACCTCTATATGTACACATTTTTACCATTCATACGAATTTAAACAGTAAGGATGTATTAACTGTAAGAACATATAAAAGAATTACTTAAGTCTGTTTATCAACTGTTGTTCCTTCACCACACTCATGTTGTTTGATAATCTTTAATTACACCGCAAAAATAACACTTTCACAGAAACACCTATATTCTGTTAACACCCACACTCATTCAATTGCACTCACTCAATCAATCATAAAACATATTTTCAGGAGTCATCCATATGAACGTTTTCGCCACTACTGTACTGTACTCATAACAGAGAAAACAAATTGATGACATTGTAGAGGCTCCTCTCCCCTACAACTCCCAACTGAGCTCCGGCCGCGCACCTACCAGCCAATCAGCGTACAGCCAGCTACGCCGAGAGACTAGGTCTATGCAGAGGACATAGGGGTACAATTGCCGACCTAGTCTCTACCTTCAACCTCTGGTTCAGGATCAGAGCGTTTCACACCTTACGCTTTAGCCGCTGTGATTGGTCCTCTCGCTACGCTCACCCCAAATCCTGATCCTCGTAAATTGTATAAATACGGCCATGCCTGGCCAGGGAGACCATTCTACACTCGGCTACTGGACCAGCAACATCTCTCACAGCTCCTCACCACTCAGCTTCCTCAGAAACCTCCTCACCCTACGGGACCTCTGAGCAAGTTTCTCCTCACCTAGTCACTCCTAAGCACTGCGCTGTACAACAATATATATACAGAAAGCGCATTGTGAGTTTCTATCCTACCTCATTCCTGAGTGTGAGATATCTACATGTAATAATAATAATAATAATAATTAACGGTTTATTGAAAGAGCTTGGCAGCCAGAAGGCTGAAAATATACAGTTACATATTTGGGGAATGGGTTTCGAATTACAAATAATATACAAGTAACATAAGTGACACAAATAAGACATATAATAACTAGATGGGGAAAAGCTCAAACTACAGTTCATTTCAACATAGTGACAGTGCAAGAAGTAGTGTTTACTGGGAGTGAATACACTGGTTTATTACAAGTTATTGATAATTTTTACAATGGTTGGGACTGGGCTGTTCTTATAGCGATCAGTTCGTGCACGTATGGGCTGGATGCGGTTGTGGTGTCGAACATGTACGTACGTTTGTGTGCCCATACAAAGAGAATTGACAACTGGCCACATACAGTACTCTACAACATGTTGTCTATGTTAACCGTAAGATAAAAAGTATGGAAAACCCTGTATGTTTAGCATTAAGATATACAGTACAGTATATGCCAACAGATAAATGGGGCTTTCAAGATCATTTGAGTACAGTACAGTATATGCTAAATGCCTTAATTGTCGGTAAATCTGAGACCCCTTGAATCAACCCTAAAAATGTTTTGTGTCCGTACTGTCATGTTACCCACAGTGTTAAAGACACCGCCCCTACAATGGTATGCAGCAATGGGAACACTTGATCGTATTTTTTTCTTGTGTATTTGAAATGATGAAAATCTTTCCATTTTTAGGGGAACTTTAATATTTCACTAACATAACCACAATATATAAAGACAATTTTAGACAGTTTCCAGACATTATATCACCATTACTGCATCCTCCAATTCATTTGCATTGCAACTCTTTATTTATTACTGTACTGTATTTTATTACAATTTGTCAATATTTAATTCTTTTATGTAATTATGATGATTGTTATCATTACATTGCTTCGTTAGGCTTCTATTGCAGGTAAGTTATTCAAAGGATAAAGTCACGGACACCGCAAAATTAATGGTATTCATGAATTGCTATTCACTGGTTTTTCTGGAATTTATCCACCACATAGGGTAAGTGTACTGTCACATCATTTCATACTGACAATTGAATGAGACATCCATTCAAATCTTTCCAGATAAAAATTATTCGCAATACGTAATGCTAAATAAAAGATATCTTTAATGCATTATGCTGGAAAATACTGTAACACATAACAGCTATACTGCAGCTTGTAACTCTTCTGCCTCAGGGGTTGCTACAGGTGGTGTTGACGTTGAGTGTCGACGTGCATATGTTGCAAATATTATCCACCTGTGTAAAATGAAATTATTCATTTAATTGACCACCAAAGGATCAATAACATCAAAACAAGAAAGCTCTTATACACCTGCTAACCTTTAAAGGATATAAATTTTCCAAATACTGAGAAAATAGTTATTTTGTAACTCCCCAAATATGTTATACAGTGGTCCCTCGGTTAAGGAACACAATTCGTTCCAGAAGGTCGTTCGTTAACCAAAAATTTCGTTAACCGAAACCATTGTTTCAATGGGATTTTGGGTAATTGTTTCCAGCTCACCGAAAATTACATACAAACTAAAAATAAATGCAGTAAAGTACTTACTTTGAGGTGTGCATGAAGAAGGCTCCTGGTGGATGATGATAATGATGGGAATTAGAAGTGGGGATGGAGGAGAAAGGAGTGGGGGTGGAAGTGAAGTCACCCCATGCTTCATGCCGCCATTTCACCCATAAAATTTTAAGTTCACACGGTGTAATTCAACATTATTTTCTTTAAATCAACACTGCACTGCATTATATATTGTCAATATGTAAAATAAATCTCAGAATGACCAATAATTGTACTGTAAAAACGTAAAAATAGTTTATGTTCAAGAGAGTCTCAAGCAAGATGCTTCCTCCACTGAGCAGAGACACAAACTGACGCCATTCTGGGTGAGTCAAGTAGCTGTTTGGCGCGCTAAAAACTAGTTCCCTGTACTTCAATTATGTTTAATAATTGTTAAAATGACTAAAAAATTTAATATAAGACTTGGAAAAATATTGAATAGTACAACCTTCTTGATATTTACTCAAATGGTAACGAATTTAAGCCGTAAAACCGATTACTGTATTGGCGGACTAAAACTACAGCTGGTGAGCAGGCGAAAACATGTTGGGAAAAATTCGTAAGGAATTCGTTAACCAATTTTTTTTCGTTAACCGAATTGAATATTCTTATGGAAGGTAATTCGTTAACCGAAATTTCCTTAACCGAGGCATTCATTAACTGAGGGATCACTGTATATCATATATATTCTGAACACAATTATTGAAAACATTTCTTATTGTACTTCTACAACAGGATATGAGCCAAAAGACACAGAAACCTACGCAGTAAAAACAAAGATGAATGACAGGATGACGAGGAACCCAAAAGTTTCTCTTGTAGGAAGGATGATAATCAAAATTGAGCGTAGAAGATCGAGTGACTGGTTGAGTGAAGACTGCACCCCGTTGATAGCCCCGCGCTCACACTCTGCTACTTCCTCTTGCAGGATCTGGGTCACTGTCAGGTCTGCCACCCACAATCCTTAAAAAAGTTAAAAATATTTATTTATTACCTTCCTTTTCATAAAACAAAGTTAGTTATTCAATCATAAAGGAAAGGTTCTCATAGAGTTCATTAACACAAGGGGGATATTGATGTTAGCATCTTATTATGAAAAAGAGAAGTCTACACTACTGCTTGGATCTCCATAGTGACCCCACCTCAATTCCTCCCCATCAGGATATAGACCAATCACAGTCAGGTAGGTCTTTCACCCACCATTCATCATGTTTCTCGATGTACCCTAACCCTGGTCAAACCCCAAGATGCCTCCAAAGTCATCTACGTCATTGTCATCCCCAGAAACTCCTGCTCACACAGGAAGGCAATTTTGGATGAAAAAGTTTAAATTATTGAAGAACTTGAATATGGGATAAGTGCAGGGCCGAACTTACCTACTTGTGGGCCCCAGGCCAAACTCATCAGTGGGCCCCCAAATTTATAGAAATGTTTGCATGTATATATATATATATATATATATATATATATATATATATATATATATATATATATATATATATATATATATATATATATATATATATATATATATATATATATATATATATTTACAGTATATATATACATATACAGTATATATATTCTTTTTTTTATGTAATTATTTTGCAATGGCCAAATATCATCAAATATTACATAATATCATACTATTATAATGTAAGAAATAAGAATTTCAACACAATGTGACACATCATTATTACTTATTCAAATGACTTGCAAAAGTACAGTAATTAAAAAATTTTAAAAGCCATTTGAACAATAATGCAGGTATCAAATTTTGGTCAACAGATCCTTAATCAGCATGTTCAGGAGTACCTATACTGAGATTTTGAACAAAATCTATTTTTTGGCCACAAATCCTGTAAGGCATAAGACTTACATTTTTTGTCATTTTTGGCCAAAAATAGATTTTGTTCAAAATCTCAGTATAGGTACTCCTGAACATGCTGATTAAGGATCTGTTAAACAAAATTTGATATCTGCATTATTACTTATTCAAATGACATGCAAAAGTACATAAATGTTCTATGATATAGTATTGTCATAAACAAAAAATTCCCTGCATGACCATTTATGAAGGTAGTTTAACTAAAATGAAAACTAAACTGAAAATGCTTATTATATTAAATTATTCCTGTACTTATAGTACACCTCTAAATATGTGTAGACAATCAGAGAACATTTCCTGCATTTGCAATGTTTACCACAAACTAAATATCTACCACACAGTATACAGAATGTCATATTTACACTGTTTACTACAAGACTGATATGCGCCACACTCATTATGTCTACCACACAGTCAACAATCTTCAGCAAAACTTATATATATCTACTACTGTATACAGAAAATCTACACACACTCTTCTCCTGTCAAATTGCTATAATCTACTACCTATCAACTGCCAGATCCCCACAATCTACTACACAAAAAACAAATTCCTAACTAATTCCAGTCAAATTATTTGGGTGAAACATCCTAAATACATTTCTGCAGGCTGCTATTATGTTATATAGGCCAGATGCCACAATATCAAGTGTTTGGGCAGTTAACATGCAAGCAAAACAAACATGAAAAAAAACATGACTGTACTTTTTCTCCCATGATAATAGATTTATACACCAGTCTATTGTACTTGCAAGAGCTATGGAATCAATATTGTCACTAAGCCATAAAACATGGGAATAGCAAGATAAGCCTTGACCAAACCGTTTTTTCCCCTACGAGACTACTAGGCAGAGTAGTACTACCCCATCATCCTATCAATTACTCACCAAATCGGGAAGTAATGATGCCAGTCAGGAAGAGAATTACAGACGTGTAGTTGACCTCTTCCGTTGCCACAGTGTATGCGTCATCTATTACCTTCTGGCTCACATTTAAGTTAATTATATCAGTCTCGACAAAGTCACTTGGAGGAGTTGCTACATTGGACATGAAATAGGAAGGAGCGGTACGAGTAGAGTTTGTTAAGCCTGAAGAACTTTTACCAATGTTTAAGATCGCAGAGGAATCAAATGGGCTACCCGGAGAAAAGACAGAAGCCACACAAAATGTTAAGCAGAAAGTCTCGATACCAAAGCCAACCAATCCCGTATTTGTTACACCAATCTGTAGAAACAAAACAAAACAAAATTTCAAATCACACAAAATAAAAGATAATATGAACATTTAAGCTTTTTAAGAGTACTGTACTGACTTGTGAGCGTAACTTGGAACTATCTTTGATCTAATTATTCACACCAACACTGTATACAGGATATATATATATATATATATATATATATATATATATATATATATATATATATATATATATATATATATATATATATATATATATATATATATATATATATATATATATATATATATATATATATATATATATATATATATATATATATATATACTATATATATATACACCTGTATTTTATTATGGAAGTGTTAAGCACTCTCTAATAAGCCATCCTAATGCATCATGGTGGATTACATAAACAATCTTGATTATATCTTGGAATTTAAGAATTTCAGGTAGTGGATAATATTATTACTTCAAGGAATAGTCTCTCTGCCTTGCCAGCTAAAAGGGTGCTGTAAGTATCACTTTCCTGACCCTCACATCCCCTCTCTCCCACGACGTTTTAGACTAATGATTAATTACAATAAGATAGAAATCATTTACTGTCTTATGATGAGAAATAAAATAAAGATAAATATGATATATTTATATTATTATTTTCATTTATAACAATGGAGACTGAGACTTTATAGGGTTGGGATTATGAGGAATGCAGATTTGAGTCATGAGTATCGTGTCAGTATCTGTCCTTATCAGTGTACAGTTGGCCCCCACTCCCACCTTAACAGTAAACCTGGTCTACCCTGGCAATGTGGCAATGTTGTAAGCCACAGCCTCAGGTGAATCCCTTATAGGGTAAAATATTTCCCATAATTTATTTACAATATTTTTATAATTGGTGGCATTACAACACATGTGTTATGCATGACACAAACTGCATAGACAGACCCTGCATGAACTGTATGTACTTCACCAGGAGAATTAAACAAAAAATAAAAATATGAACTTGAAGGAATGTCTGTACAGCTGCAATTTTACAAGCCGGGAAAAAATCATTATAAATGTTGTAAAGAAACACTAACCTTCTTTCTTAGGAATGGAGAAGCTATAGAGCCAAATATCCCAAACAATGAAGCCAAGGCTGTCAATACACCGAGGATACTTTCTGATACACCAGATTCATACACAAATGCTGAAAAACAAAATAATATATATTGACTTTATAAATATTATGATACTAATGATAAAACAAAACCAATAAACAATGATACTGCTGCCATGCATACTGTATTGGTAGGGTATGATAAATTTGTTATAAAAGTTTGATTCATGAACATCTCACAGAAACAGCAACCCGCATTACAATTTAGGAATCTTTCTGCAGGCCAACCCACCAAAATTTACATCTTACCTAACCCAAAATTAATGTTAATATTTTATTAGCACGGACGTGTAGTCTACATCGTGGTTAAAACCATAGGTAGACTTCGGATAACAGAAACTTTACTTTTATAAGGAAATATTTGTACCACTGTTTTTGACACTACAGTGGTCCCTCAGTTAATGAGCACAATTCGTTCCAGCAGGTTGCTCGTTAACCGAAAAACTCGATAACCGAAACCATTGTTTCAATGGGTTTTTGGGTAATTGGTTCCAGCTCACCGAAAATTGCCTAAATTCAACAAAAAAGGTAGAAAAGTACACTTACTTTGAGGTGTGTATGTAGAAGGCTCCTGGATGATGATGATGATGATGGGAATTAGAATGGGGGTGGAGGAGAAAGGAGAAGAGAAGGCATTGGGGTGGAAGAGAAGTCACCCCATGGCACCATTTCACCCATAAAATTTTAGTTCTCTTGGTGTAATTCAAGATTATTTTCTTTAAATCAACACTGCACTGCATTATATATTGTCAATATGTAAAATAAATTTCAAAATGACCAATAATTTGCTTGGAAACACAGAAAAAAAGCGCTTAGTTGAAGAGAGTCTCAAGCAAGATGCTACCTCCACTGAAAACAGAGAGAGACTAACACCTGTCTGGTGTGTTAAAAGGCTGGATGGCACGCCAGAAACTAGTTTCTTTACCTTCAATTATGTTCAATTATTGTTAAAATGACTAAAAAAGTTAATATTAAACTTTTAAAATTATTGAATAGTATAAACTTCTTGATATTTACTAAAATAGTAAGGAATTTAAGCCCTAAAACCGATTACTGTATTGGCGGACTAATATTACAGCTGGTGGACCGCCAAATGCAAGCGAAAACATGTTGAAGTCGGCTTGTAAAAAACTCGTTAATTGAGGGATTGCTCATTAACCGAAGTTAAGAATCTTATGGAAGGTAAATCGTTAACCGAAATCTCGTTAACCGAGGGATCACTGTACTCAGACCCAGGCAGTTCAATGCTTGTCACCTTATCTGATAGGCATCTAAATTTCAGGCATTTAATAAACTTTATTTGTACAGTATCTGAATTAATTACAGTATCTCTCTTACTGGTTAAACCTGTAAATAAACATAGAGTTTAGGGTCTTATGTTTAAACACATTTATATACAAATAACAATTCGACCATACTGTACTTGAACCTTCTAGAAGCATCTGTCTGACAGTCTCTCTCTCTCTCTCTCTTGGTAAGTGTGAAGAAAACATACAGTACTGTCAGTATAGTACAGTATACTATTTAACATTAACAAAGTGATAAAACACTAGTCATAAGGTACAAATAATATTGAGAAGTTAATAATAAACACAATGTATCATAAGTGAGTATTGGGACTTTGTTTTGTGGGAGTGTTGCCAGCCCCTATGTTACCATACATAATGAGAACAAATGTTTCTGGCCACATATATTTACCTTATTTACCTAATGGTCACCCACTAGAGGTGACCATGGCAAGGGAAGGGGGGCATTGGCCTGTGAAGGATCTCTCCATTATTCTTGATGGTTTTGTCAGGTATATTGCAACTAAAATGATTTTTCTTTGGTTTATATCAACATAAATCAGGAAGTGAAGCACAGCATTATGCCCCACCCTGCTGCCACGCACCTGTCTCGGCAGCTTAAATGTCAGTGTGAGACCTTTAAGTGAGTGAGTCCTGATCAGTAACTTGTTTATACTTGAGATCAGTTAGGCAAAAGACACTGACCTATATTTTTTATATCAATAAAGGTAAAACTGATAAAGAAATCCAATGTTGCCTGATATCTTTTCAGTCATCTGAAATTTCTAGTCTTAACCACACAGGTGACTCACCTCTTGAGTAATTATCAAAAGCCAAAACAGTCATAAACAGAAGAGCAAGACCTAGTCCAGCATCCCTGACTGGGTGGTTCATGTACGAGCGCCATGCTTCCCAAGCTGAAATAATACGCAGTACTATTTTGTGTCTCATCTTGATCTTATTTTTCACTTCATTAGTCCCATGTGAGTCTTCAGCATTTCCTTCTGCTTTTGGTGTGCCTTCCTGGAAAATAAGGCTACATTATAAAAACTATGTAACTCCTGTCTTTAAACCGCCTAACACAGCCATACTTTACTTTTATTTATCTTCTTTGCCACTGATCTGCTAATTAGCCCCTTGGGAGGTCGGTAACGTCTCTGTTATGCATTGTTGGCAAGTATTGGGCATATACTGGCTCCAGAATGTATCCATACCTGTGCCAGTGTTGGTCAAGTCTGGTCTTGAATGAGCTCACACTTAGTGTGTCACAATGCTCTCTGACAGATTGTTCCAAAAGTTCACAACCCTCATTTGTAGCTTGTAGCTTCTGCAACCTTAAGCTGTGACCCTTAGTGGGGTGAGCATCCACCAACTCCAAGTATGAACACTCGACTGTATAATGTCCTCTGAGGTGTTTATAAACTTCTATTAAGTCACCCCTTGCCCGCCGATAGTATAAGCTAGGAAGTTGCAGAGATCTTTCTGAAGCTCTTCGCACTCTGTTTGGTTCTAAATTTCCCTGAAAAACATGGCATCATCTGCAAACATTTATATGGAGGAGTGTATAGCTTCTGGCATATCATTTATGAAACAAACATACAACAATGAGCCCAGTACACTGCCCTGTGGTCCCCACTTGTCATGGGTATTCATAACAATTTAGTGCCATTAATCACCACAACCTGCTTGCAGTCACGAAGAAACTCTCCAATCCATGCCATTGATAGGACACTCCCCTGAATTCCGTATCCTTCCTGTTTAATTTTCAGCCTTTCGTGGGGTACGCTGTCTAAAGACTTGGCAAAGTCCAGATATATATATATATATATACTGTCGATATTGCCACCATGCTTCAGGATCTGGGTCCAAACATCAAGCTCTTTATAAAATTGCGTCAAACACGAGTCCTGGCATAAAACCATGTTGGCACTCCTTTATGAGGTTGATTTGTAGTAGATTTTCCATCATGGCATCTTGTATAATGTTCTCTAGTACAGTACTTGACACACAATGCTGGTCAATCTCATGGGTCTATAATTATTTGTGGAGTGGTGATCTCCCAGTTTGAATATAGGACTCATATAGGCAGTTTTCCTGTTGCTGGGATCTCTTGTTCATCCATGCATCTGCAGAACAGGATTTTAAGGAGCTCAGCAATCTCATTGCACAGTCTCGTAACACTCTTGGAAGCCTATTGTTAGGGCCCAGGTTATTATGAAACTTTAGCTTTAACAATTAATTCCTAATACTGTACACTCTTCTGAGAACATAATATGAGTCAGCACTATGTCGAACCTCCTCTTTCCTCAAATGCAGGGAGATTGTTCACATCCTCACCTGTGAACACAGAGGAAAAGAATGTTTAATACCTCCACTTTGTCCTGATCTGAGTCTGCGAAATTACCATCTTCAAGTCTCAGATCTGATACGTCCACACGTGTGTTTAATTTTGACTTTCCATAATAGTAGAAAGCTTTGGGTTTGACTTGACCTCGTTTGCAAACTGCCTTTGAAGCTCTTTTTCAGCCCTTCTTGGACCTGGCATACAGCCTTCTGTCATGCTTCATATAAAACTGTCATGCTCCATCTAGAACAGTCATGCTCCATCTAAAACAGTCATGCTCCACCTAAACTGTCATGCTCCACCTTAAGTCATGTTCTATATAAAACAGTAATGCTCTATCTAATATAGCCATTATATATAAAACAAGTCATGCTTTGTCTAATAGCCATGCATCATCTAAACTCATGCTCCATCTAAAATAGCTGTGCCTCTATATAAAACAGAATCATACTTCAGTCAAAGAACACAATACATTCATTTCAGCTAACATACAGCACCACATAGTACAGAAGAATTCAGGAGCAACTTATGAAACACAGGCTACTGCACTTGGATGATTGGTACAGTAACGGTCAAAAGTTTGCTCTTCGTGAGGAAAACAAGTCTCCGAACTTGCTTGCCCCGACTGTCTCCTGGTGCGGGTGTGCTGTTTTATCTCATTTGGGGTCGATACTGCTTCAGTTTGGGAGAGAGCGAACCTTTGACTCCGGGTGTACATGGGAGCTCATGTTATGGTTCCAAACCTCAAATTCTTTTTTCTACCTTTAACCCAGTGACTTAAATTAATATGGGCCTTCCTCAGTCTAAAGCAAGGGACTTATGTAAAATTAAGTTTATCTGTGGATGAAACGCGACAGTTTGGAAACCATAATTCTCCTCACAGAAACAAGCAGCTTCACCTTTGACCCAGTGAGCTTAAAACAAAAAGGATACAGTACATGGAAATTCAAGTTAAATTTTGTATACCAGAATATAGACCATACTAGAATAAGTTTCTTTTTGCAGTTGTATAAAAAAGTTAATCTGGGTGAGGTATACTCGACTGTCAACAAACAATATCATAAATAGAGGGAACTATTCTTAAATGATAACAAGCCCTACAATTCATCCACAATTACAGGTACTCCTCGACTTACGACCTACTCGACTTACGACCACCCGGCAAGGCTGGTAGTACGGTCCGGAATATTTTTCCGTACTCCGTACCTGGCTAAAATACCGTACCGTACTTTCGTACCGTACCCCCAATTATTTTTCCGTACCGTACAGTACGGAAAAAATACCGTACCGTAATTCCGTACTTTTATCGCACCATCGGCAAAATATATTTACATCAAAATAATTCTCTATTTGTGAACAATTTATTAGAGTACATGTGTGGATTTGAAAAGGAACATTTATGAAGTGACTATAGATGTAAATGTGCCCACATAATATTGTTGCCTAATTACAGAATTTTATTTCTTAGTCTACCTAATTTACAATAAAGCAAAAATATGTGCCATCTTACCAATAATGTGCAATATTAGATAAAGTGCTCCTGCCTGCCTCGGATGACTGCTCCCTCCCGACGGCGATGGAAGGAGTGACTGTGGAGAGTTGGAGACACTAATCTCAACTCTCAAGTTATACATGAATAGTTCGCATGATGCAACGTGATCAGTACTGACAGTACCAGACTACCAGCTGGCGGACGGTACTGATCACGTAAGTGCACTCACTGAAGCCACCAAAGCATTAACCCTTTGAAGATCGATGACACATTTCTTTTCTCTTTTCTGACTATTATTAGATGATTTTATTCAATTTAGGAAGGGTATATGAAAGACAATAGACAGATGGCTAATTCAGCTAGTCTATACTGTTTATTCCCGTAAATCCTTCCTAAGCTGCATAAAAGTGTCTAATGATAGCCAGAATAAACTGTCATAATGCGTCACAATCCTCAAGGGGTTAATAATTGCATGATCATGTTTTAAGCCTGGGGTACGGTACAGTACGGAATTTTGCTCATTTTTCCGTACCTAAATCGTACCGTACCGTAATTTAAGGAAAATATCGTACAGTACATTCTGACTAAATACCAACCGTACCATACCTACCGTAATGCCAGCCTTGCCACCCATACATTCGACCGCCGCAGTCGTATAAAATAATTTTCAAATTACGTATTTTCGAGTCCCGACGTTAGTGATTGCGCTGTGTACTGACAAAATTTTCATTTGTAATTCCCTTTAAAATGGCTGGCTAGCGTAAAAGTGAGAGTTCTCATGGTGCTGAGAAGAAAAAGAGACACCCATTTTAGATTTTCTATGTATTATATTCGCATTTTTGACTTACGACCAATTCGACTTACGACCTAGTCGTCTGTCCCTAACCCCGTCGTAAGTCGAGGACCGACTGCAATATGAAGGTTTTCCTTCATGAATTCTAAGTTAAATGTTAAATTATAAGTCTTGTTATCTAAACTTTAAACGCCAGCTATCATTGGTGGAAGTTAGCTGTAGGGATGGCAGCCATCAATTGTGGAATTTTCATGTTACCTGAATTCTATTTTTGTACATAAGGGTTAAAGAAAAATGTAGTTTGGTCCTAAAAATCCCTTTTTCTGATCAAAGTTGAGCAAATGGCTTGTGCCTTTACAGCATAATTAAATCTACTGTACTAGCTGCAGGCTGAGATATAACAGGAATTGCTATTAATCTTTGTGTCTTTGTCGTTGACTATATCTGATCTTTTATATCTTTATCCTCCCTTAAACCCATGCATGCTTCCCTCAACCCTTTACTTACATCTATTTTCTTGGGTTTCTGTAGGTCAGTATTAGAGTAGAAGAGATGATGAAGTAAGCTATACTCCACAAAGAGGGAAGCTACATTCCAACAGGCAATTGCAATACCTCCAGCTGCCATACCGAAGCCAGTCATGATAGCACCTACAATCACAGGCGCTAAAACTTCAGTGCTAAGGTCAACTGATCTCAAAACACTGTTCATTCCTGTAAGAACAACACATTATATTAAAGTACACAGACATTCTAATGCAATAATTAATCATGATCAAATAATTATGTTTAAAGGTCTGAATAAATGAAAACATTCTGGGATTTGTAAAGCCAACACAGATCACTATGCAACCCCTGTTCATTATTAGGAGGATTTCATTCCTTTTCCCCATTCCTGATAATCAAAATGCACATCTTGAAAAGTAATCAATATTGTACAGCACTGCACTGTGTATAGAAATTTAACTTACCTCAATTATTTCCTGTAAGAACAGTCAGTTCATCAAAAACTATTACCGTAATTCATATACAGTGCTGTACCTTCTCCAATGTGTCCACTCTCTTGTGATTTATCTCACATTCAGTACTCCACTGACATACTCTTTACTACAATCTTTAGTCTTCCATTTATAAAGGACAGTGATTGATTGATTGATTGATTGATTGATTAGGTAAAATATCTGGTGTCACAGCCTGTGGCCATGAAACAAAGAACAGTAAAACAGTTTTGATGGTAAAAGTCATACTCTGGTCACAAACATTTACTCTAGCTATGAAAACAGCAATAAAAGATTGATAAACTGAAAGGAACACTGCTGTGGTTCTTAATACCAAAGAAAGAGATACCTACTGCTTCCATAAAAGAAAACAAAAATGAGAGAGCATAAAATGAGATTAATTTTACATTGGGAAATTTTCACAATAGAACAAAACACATGACATAGCTCTTTGCCTATACAGTGGTTCCTCGGTTAATGAGCACAATCCGTTCCAGCAGGTTGCTCGTTAACCAAAAAACTTGTTAACCGAAACCATTGTTTCAATGGGTTTTTGGGTAATTGGTTCCAGCTCACCGAAAATTGCCTAAATTCAACAAAAAAGGTAGAAAAGTACACTTACTTTGAGGTGTGTATGTAGAAGGCTCCTGGATGATGATGATGATGATGATGGGAATTATAATGGGGGTGGAGAAGGGAGAAGAGAAGGCATTGGGGTGGAAGAGAAGTCACCCCATGGTGCTATTTCACCTATAAAATTTTAGTTCTCTTGGTGTAATTCAAGATTATTTTCTTAAAATCAACACTGCACTGCATTATATATTGTCAATATGTAAAATATATTTCAAAATTACCAATAATTTGCTTGGAAACACAGAAAAAAAGCGTTTAGTTGAAGAGAGTCTCAAGCAATATGTTACCTCCACTGAAAAGAGAGAGAGACTAACGCCTGTTTGTGTGTTAACAGGCTGGATGGCACGACAGAAACTAGTTTCCTTACCTTCAATTATGTTCAATAATTGTTAAAATGACTAAAAAACTTTAATATTAAACTTTTAAAATTGTTGAATAGTACAAACTTCTTGATATTTACTAAAATAGTAAGGAATTTAAGCCCTAAAACCGATTACTGTATTGGCGGACTAATACTACAGCTGGTGGACTGTCAAATGCAAGCGAAAACATGTTGAGGTCGGCTTGTAAAAAACTCGTTAATCGAGGGATTGCTCGTTAACCGAAGTTAAGAATCTTATGGAAGGTAAATCGTTAACCGAAATCTCGTTAACCGAGGCGCTCATTAACCGAGGGATCACTGTAGCTATATTTCCATTGAAAACTTAAGTCAACAAAGCTATGATTTATGGCTATTATTTAGAATTCCCAATTAGAAAATTTAAGATACATAAATGTGAAGGATCACATACCTGCCAAGCGAGCATTATCCTGGCCACAGATCACAAGAATCCAATCTTTTTCAATGGCAAGTTTTGATCCTAATGTTCCAATCTGTGCTATACATGCTGTCAGGATTACAAATCCCTGAAAGTAAATAACACATCAAAGTCTCACGCAAAAAATTCTTTTACCAGAATGTGTCAGTCTCTCCAGAAGGTATTACCTCTGCCCTGCAGCTTCTGAATAACTGTTGGTTGGAGAAACTTGACAACTGATTTAGATGTAGCTTAGAAAAGTTACTTAAAAGGAAAATAAATCATCCTTTGTCCTACTACATGAGTGCTCTACATGACTCTGTGTAGAGCCTTGGAAATAGTTCAACAATTACAGTTATTTCCAGAACTGAACTCCCACTGGTTACCTGCTGGGTTATTTCAAGACATAATTATGTTTCTTAAAATTTTTACACTCATCCCTCCCCTACATCTCCAACTACCTTTGTCCCAGGTCTCATTTGTCCAGGTCTGTCACTGTGAGCACACATTACAACCCTTTACTCTTTGTAGCATGTTACAGCATCATAAAAATATCTGTTAATAATAGGAATGATGAGATATACCTGTATGTGCCTTTATGATCATTACAAATTACAATAATAAAATATATATAAAAAAATACACAAGATTCACAAAATTAACCTAAACTACTAGTCACATCATCTTCAACTCACCTCGGCAACAACAAGTGACCAGCCATCCCAAGCAGTAAATATCTGGCGTTGTGTAGTGATAAGGACCAGGATGGCAGCACAAAAACAAACCATAATGTTCTGTATGCTCAGACTCAGTTGTGCAGCTGTAGTAAAGAGGAACCAAATTGCACTGAACACCCATGCACCAAGGAAGAATGCTGTGCAGCTTGTATAAACATGAAAGGCCAGTTATAATAAATTAAAAATTATATTCTGTATTCTATGTCATCTATGATCAACTAAAAGGTTTGTATAGTAAAAACAAAGAACAGTAAAATGGTTTTGATGGTAAAAGTCATAACCTGGTCACAAACATTTACTCTGGCTATGAATATTCTTAAACCAACCTTCCAAGTGATACAAATTACACAGAAGTTAAAGATAAATATATAGCCCAAATCCCCTCAATTTACTTGTCAATACCATGCATTAATTTCGAAAATTTCAAGCATTTATGTATTTCTCACCCTTACCAAGCACTTGCAGTATATAAATGACCAACTCGTATACAGTATTTACTACCAATTAACATGAACTAAAACGGGACAATGAAAATATTTACTGCAGTTAAAAATTGTCACGTGGTACCTGAGCTATCCCATAGATGAACCAATTGCTACTGCACTTGTTTATAAAGAGAAGAAATAAGAAACAAAGAGAATAAATGCTACTTTAATTCACATACCAAAAGGCAAAATGTCAAACATTAAAGGCCCACCAGGTTTAACAAGGCAGAAAAGAACCACAATGAGAGATACAGAAATGAATCAAAACTTTGTAATCATTAAGGGAAGCATCGAGTGACACGAGATACTGCACTGAAAATTATTTTTAGACACAAGAAATATTTGCTTACAAGAAAACCCCACAGGAAGAAAACTTTTCCAAGTTATGCCACACATTTAATGCCTGATATTAATTATGCATTAAAAAATATATAAAACACTATTTTTTTCAGTCTCATTTTCAAATATCAAATTTTGTAAGTCGTATTTGCTTGTGTTAGTCCTGACAACAACAGAGGAAAGAAACTGTCATTTAAAAGTGGAGGGAGAATGGTATCATACATGGTGGATGAATCTACCATGTTACCCCACTTAACCAAGGGGACTGAATAAACTACTGCTAAATATGTCAGGGCCCTTTGGCATCAGGCAGTTTAAGTCTGAGAGTATTTTAGTGGTATGGATCTCTCAGGTCACTCACTGATGAGTCATGAGTCATAAAAAATCTACCAGTAAGCATTTTTTAAAACTCTTTTCATGAGTGTGCCAGCCAAGACAGGCATATAACTTACTTCTTAACCTTGATGTACGGTCAATCCATCGGCCAACTGGAGCACCACAAATAATCACAGTCAGAGCAAGAGCTGCTCCATAAACAGCTGCAAGACGTAGAGACCCCGGGGTTACCTAGAAAACACCCAAATATTTATCAATTATATCTCACTATAACTCAAACTAAGCTTTAACATGCACGGTAAAAATATTTGTGGATGCATAGGTTGTTTTTCTTCTAAAAACTATACCAATATTGTCATAAATGAAACTTTGCTATGAACTTCCCTTCGTGGCAGGGCATTTAGGAACACAATACAATGGTAAATTGTTTTGCTGAAGTATGCATGAGAAGAATGCTGAAATCTGAATTCAAATAAGAGCAAAATTTCAACAGTGGCAGGCAATGGCAATTCTCCTGTAATATCAGTACTGTACTGTATGAAAAGGAATGGGATATGATAGCTATACAAATTTACATACTTGGGGTTTATGTTTAACAACATCAATAATGGGTGAATAAAAGTTAAAACTAGAGTATTAGATGGAGGAAGAGTTATAGCAGCCATATAAGACTTGAAGAACAAGAAAGATTTTGGTGTTGAATGTGTTAGGGGACAGAATGAAGGAGTATGTACAGTATTTATGCCAACACTTTTGTATGGATGAGAATTAGTAAATTTCTAAATTATAAAGGATGGCAGAAGTAAAATTTATTAAATGTGACTACTATCTGGATGAAGACTTTAAATATGAGAAATTACTGTATGTGGAATGAGCAGGTCACTAGAAAGATACAAGAAAAAAGGTTTCTGAGATGATTGACATTTTGGAGCATTTAATCAATACTACGTTGGTGAAGATGATTTATGGAAGGAAAAAAGAGAGACATAGGCCTGATAATACATGGTTTGTGAACATAAATGATAGGTTAATTATGGAAAAATGACAGGGAGTATAAATTACCATACATCAGACAAGGAAACTGTGTATGAAATAGGTAATGACCAGTATATGAAGGCTGACTGGGCAATGTGGAAGTACCATTTTAATTTGTCACACACTTTCTTCTTATCTTTTTTAAATACAGTACCTTGTATACCATATACAGTGAAACCTCCATATAACAGACATCAATCTAATGGGTATAATACTTTATATGGAGGTTTCACATCTAATGGACCTCAATAAAATTAACTGTTCTCTCCCATATGGAGGTTTCCCTGTATCATGCCTTGTTCCTGAGAGGCTTTGTACACCTGGAATATCACGACAGAGAGGTCAATGTCATGAAAGCAAGGAAATGTATTTTACTTAAGTCTTTGTTTCTAATTGAATTGTTAAAATAAATACTGTACATAGTTACAAGCATACTTCAAGGAGAAAGAGTCCACCAGCAAACATCCACATACGGTCTCCCCAGGATGAAAGGAAGTGTGAGGCATACACCTGAAATGTTGCTGACCGACATCTCTGACAACAATGTCTCCCTTCATTTTCATCTGGCTCTTCTGTAAACAAAATTAATTTTAAGTCTACAAAACTAACTACCAAAGCCTACCTCATCAAGGTCCTGGATCTGACCCAACTACAGTACTTCATAATAAAATATAAGTTTAAAGTCTACTAATATTTCAAAACAAGAATATCCACAGGTCCATGTTTGGTTCTAAGAAAAAGAGTGATCTACAAGATCTTTACTGCTAAAAAGCCTTCTGGTTTAGTCTGCCCAATGCCAAAGAGCATTCATTGCTACCAAAGATCCAACAAGAAATGGTCTTTGTGTTCATAATCCTGATGTACCATAAGCCACAGAGTACAATATAAAATACAAAACAAGAAAAGCTACGATTATTAGGTTAAGTGAGAAAGTTAGTCTGGACTGTTCTGGTTGTTACTGTCACTCCATCCAAAGGGTATATTCACTCCCAGCTCCATATTTAAAACACCTGGGTTGGTAATGACAGCCTTCAAGATACCTTATTCTACAAATGTCTATTACCAGAGATTCTAGTTGTGTTATCTTTTTGTTTACTAGTATCTTCAAATTCTTCATCTAATTTTCTATAGGTTTCTGTTGGAGTACTATAGTGGTTACGGGAATTGCTTGGGGAGACTTCATTCTCTGGCTTCTCACTCTGTTGTTCTTGATCATCATTAGCTTCAAGACCTGTGACAGCTGATCCTTCCATCATCTGAAGGTCTTCTCTGGACATTGTCAAAGCCTGATGTAAGTAAATGAAGAAGTCAATGTTTGGTACAGTATTGTACAATGTACTTACTACTAGGAGATGAATTGATAGAAATTAATTAGTTAAGTCTCATTATAAACACAGGATTGTCAATGGACTGTGCCCAGAGTATCTAACAATAATTTTTTTGAAGGATTAGGGATAAGAACAAGCAGGGTACTAGAGGAGTGAACACAAATTTATGGTACAGTACGGTACAGTACCTATGTAGTCTCCTTTTTAAAATTAAAACACATCCTTCTATAATGGACTGGAACAAGTTACTTGACGACACTAAAACCAGTACAGTAATGGTATTGAACAATTAATTTTTATATTATTAGCCACAGTATGTTGCATCATTGAAGTTGTTACAAAAAGTATCATGTTGTATATACAGTACTTTCTGTAATTGTAAATAATTCTCTATACTAAGTATTAGAATATGAAATAGTATATAATCTTATAATAGTGAATGTGTGTGTGTGTGTGTGTGTGTAAACATATTTCCAAATAATTATGAACATTAAATTACTGTTATGTACTGTACTTGCATTTCAATTTCAATTGTTTATTCCTTGATAGAGGAAGTGGGATCCTAGTGTTGTCACTAGGTACCCCTGCACAATGACACCAGAAGCATCTGGCAAGTGTGACAAGTATATACAGTGCTAATTGCATTTGGCATTCTTATATAAACTACTACCGGCCATTCATGAGCCCTGTAAATCTGGTACAGTGATGGAGAATTACAGGGTTTAGGAAGTATTAAAACTTAAGTATTATGAATGATAGCAGTCCAACTGCCACTTTTTATGCTCTTTTATTGTAGTACAGTACAATATTTATCTTTGGTCTCAAGTCTTTAACTTTGCAGTTTTTCGAGCTATTATTTATTATTATTTGTCTTAATACTACAAACAATGCCTTTAAATGTTACATAATATTACATGACTTTTTTCCTGTTTCTACGTCTTCAGGCACTGCTATTAATTGACCTGAAGTTGGTCAGTTTTAAGGAAAATGCATAATACAATTTTCATTATACTTGTACAGTGTATGCATCGTGTCTTACTGTATTTAAGGTTTTGCAAAAATGACTCCACGTCTCAGGAGATTCATCTTCACGCCAATTATGTTATCTAAAAGCGTGTATCAATTGGCCCCTCTGGCTGGCAACTTGGCAATGTAGTGTTCTTATGTATTAAATATAAATAACTGGATATGTGCTTGGCTGGGATTGATTAGGTCACATCACTCACGAGTTTATTGTCCTTGTAGTTTTAACCCTTATCAATAAAATGCCAGATAAGACCTCTGCTAGAAGACGGAGATATACTGTAAAATCATCGTTTTTCCCTTTTCGTCTTCATCTTTCTTCTTGCACGTAATTAAAAATTTTTCGTCACTCCTTCAAGTTTGGATCCCTTTTAACTTATCTTGGTTTGGGTCTTTTAAAGATTTTAATGACATCGGAGGTCAAACCCCCACAAAAGAGCTCTCCCTCATACAATAAGCTGCTATTCAATAATAAAATAATAGAAAAGGTGCCACAAATGTACCTGGCTGTAGACCCCCACAAAGGGGCTAAAAAACTGGTGTAATTCACAGAAGCACAGTACAGGTAGCATTAGAAAGATAATGGGATACATGTAAAGGTCGAAAGTTAACAAAGAAAGCGACAAAATAAGACTTTGTGATGACACGTGGATATACAGTATAATTATTATTTACGATAGAACCACAAATAAATAACATATACTCAATAACAGTTCTGCCATTTGTAGATTTTAAAACAATACATTTAATCACACGAACCAGTTGTCAAATTATAGACAATATGTGGGAGAGATCCACCTGTTGTTCACTGTTCTGTTATCTGTGTGTATAATTATCCATCACTTAAGATATGAGTACTGAAAATAAATGTAATACTTACCTACACACACTCGCCACAAATTTAAACTTCATGGTTAAAGCACATTAAAGGGAGTGCAAAAACTAAACTCCCGACACAAGATTAGATTTAAAAAAAGAAACACTATTGTGACCCAAAAATAAAGTTCTTAGGTTGGAGCTTCGAATTTTATACTGTATACTGAAGTGCAATTATTCTTTATCTATTTATTTATTTGTACATATTAGCTATATGGAGATGTAACAAAAAAAAGGGAATTGGGGTAAATGACAGAGTAAACAAACAGTTCTCTCATTTTTTAAGGTATGGTATTTAAACACTTTTAATTTACCTTTTTTTACACACGGTTAAGATATTATGGTGGACTTTTACTGGATGTTGAGTCATCTTCGGGTTTCTCACATCATGTAGAAAAATTTTAATAAAATAAATATATAAATGGCCTTGAGGCAACATGTGTATCATCTACGTTGGATGTTATTCAGTGTTAACGGCGGAGGATGTATCACGAGGTCAACTAAAACATTAAATGCAAACACTTAATTTCCAACTCCATGTAATTTATTTATTTTTATAAAAAGAAGGTATTACAAATTTCTAGTGTATTAATACTAGATAATTCCAGAAAGATTTCTGGGAGTGTACCCGTGAACCGTGGGTGCAGGCGACCAAGAGCACAATAAGTGTAGCTCATCACCACTGTCATTTCCACAATTGGAGAAGAATACAGAGATTTAAAGGCCTTTGTCCAAAGCCCATAAGAATATAAATGAACAAAACTATATAATATGTAGGCACGTCTTTACCGAACAACTTTTGACATTACAGGTGTAAATAAACAAAGTTGGCCCAGCTTACCGTATACTGTAAGAATGTTTTGGGAAGACACACAGTAGACTTTTTACTTTTACGTTTATCCTCTTCACCACTGATCGGCTCGTTAGCTGGTTGGGCGATCGGTCACGTCTCTGGTTACTTTTCCTTTTCATTTATCCTGTTAGTATTGAATGTTGCTAAACATGTGCCAGTGTTGGTCAAATCTAGACTTAAGAGCCCTCACTTGGTAAATGGTGCTGTCACATTCTCTGGCAGGTTATTCCAAGAGTTCACAACTTTTACTCCAAATAAGTTAACTGTGACAAATTTATGTACTGATAACATCTTTAATTTGACGTTGTGACCTCTTGCGCCCCTTTCCAAAAACGAATATACACCACAGCCTGAAACCGATAGAGATCATCCCGTAACGCTTCACAGTAATTAGAATCTTAATTTCCCTAAAAAACTAAGCGCCAAGTGTAAATATTTGTATAGACGAATAAACAACACCCGACATATAATTTATGAAACAAGCGAACGTCAGTCCAAGCACATTGCCTTGTACTACGGTACACTCCTTGTCAATTTTACATGATTTCAGGCTCCAGTATTGATCACCACAAGTTGTTTACGATTGCAAGGACAATACTGTATCAAAATGTGCTAGGACATTCCACTGTATTCCAAGATTATTTTAGGGTTCAACAGCGACTGAACTCGTACATTTATGACTGATAATATCACTAACTTGCAAGGAGACAAATGGTTAAGATTCGGCACTGTAGCTAAAAGGAATGATCAAGTTTTATTTATCTAGTATGAGATGACAGATAACGCTATTGTGGATGTTAAGGAAAAGCTGAATCTGAGGTGTATTTCATCAAAACTACATAAGGAAGTCATTCAAGCATGGCGATAAGAAAACAGAGTATGAATATTTTATAACTGAATATTAAAGGAGGGGTAAAGTAACATCACATCTTGGGAAGTTGTCGTCTATTGCACGTCTCCAAAATCAACACAACTGACGTGTTATTCGGCCGGATAGTTTCTCGATGTTGTGTATAACAAACAATACATAATTTCACCGGAATAATGTATGGTGGGCAAAATTAATCCAGTTGAATGGAGATCTAAAAAATAAATAAATTAAGTTAAATAATAAAGAAAAACTTTATGGGTTTACACACTAGAGCCAAAAGTTGTAAGCAAATAAACAACTTCAACAATTGCGTAATTAGTGTTAATTTATACCAGTTCTGCTTATCTCTCTCCCTCTACGGACTCGCACACACAAAGCATGCATGTAAACATACGAAGCTACAAACTTGCATAACGTAAACACGTACATAAGCATCCTTACACACTCGTCAAAATACGCACACGGCAATAAACATAAAAGAACCACGATGATAGGAATTGAGAAATGCACGGGCAGCACTGACCATGAGGTCCCGAGGGAGAATCACGTGTGGTAAGCATGAACAATACACTCACTTATGCTGCGCATCACCACCTCAGCACAGCCAAATAGCCTTCACTCTCCTCCCTCTACCCAGCCATCAGTTACCACCACAATCCCCCAAGCCACGCCAATGTTCCACCAAATTTTCTTTCTTAAAATTCAGTTAAAATTACTTTCAGGTGTCAGTAAACTAGACAAGAGGTCAAAAAAGTATTGTACAAAACAGGCCCTAAATGTGGCCAATCAGTTAATTAGATGAGCAAAACACTTCGAGAATAAATTAGCCAAAATATTAAGAGAGATTGCAACTCCTGATATACATATACTACGAGTATAATGAAAACGAAAGATACTATTGGCCCTAATGGACGAAAACATAAGAACATAAGAAAATAAGGAGTCTGCAATAAGCCGGTTGGCCACCCTATTCGTGAACCAGTGCCTTCCTATCTCCCTCCTAAACCTAAACTTATCCAACTTAAATCCGTTGCTACGAGTCCTATCCTGCTCGGATATTATAAGAACTTCATCTATATCTCATTTATTGATTCCTTTCACCCATTTAAATACTTCTATCATACCTCCCCGCACTCTTCGTCTTTCTAGGGAATGCAAGTTTAGTTTCTTTAATCTATCTTGATATGGAAGGTTTCTAAGTCCCGAAATCATTTTCGTCATTCTTCGCTGCAGCGACTCCAGTGAATTGATATCCATTCTATAATAAGGGCACCAGAACTGAACAACATAATCGAGGTGCGGCCTGACTGGCGCAAGATATAGTTGCAATAAGATCTCTGCACTCTTATTACTTACACTTCTAGATATAAAACCTAATACTCTGTTTGCCTTATTTCGAATATTAACGCTCTGTTTTCTAAGCCGTAGGTCCGGGCTTACAAGTAGCCCTAAGTCTCTTTCACAAGTCGACTTCTCTAGTTGATGTTGTTAAAGATGTATACATTGACGGTATTTGTTCTTCCAATATTAAGTACGCTGCACTTGCTGGTGCTGAATTTCATTTCAACCGCACATGACTCATTTTGTATCGGTAGATATTCTGCATAACCCCAGAGTACTCAGAGGATAACATCCTTCTTGCACCCGACCTGGGGATTGAACCCGTGACGCATTGAGGGGTAAACGCGCTATGCTGTACCCACAACGGTTCACCTTCCGTTATGCCAGTGGCTTTTATTATGACTACAAGAGTCGAGGGATCGTGAAACAATCTACAGGGAGGTGACAGAGGGCACCCTGAATATAAATCAACAGTTCAAACAATTTCAAGACTTTTCTTCTATGACGTTTCCCCAGAAAACGACCTATAATATGCCGGGGGGGGGGGTCCAGGGGAGAGGGAGCTCCCGGTTAGGAAGTTTGGTTAGGTCGTTTGGTAGGAAAAGGTCATGGAAGAAAGGTGTCTTAGAAGTGTCTAAACTAATGACTGTAAAGATAAAATTCCCGAGATTCGGTTGGTGGCAACAAGTGCAATTTAACCCACTGGCTTAGGTACAGATAACATTCTGGAGCCAAGAAATATCCAATACCTACCAATAATATTTACCTAGATTTTGCCAAGGCTTTCGACAGTGTACCCCACGAAAGGCTGAAAATCAAACTGGAAGGGTACGGAATTCGGGGAAATGTCCTAGCGTGGATAGAAGACTTTCTACATGACCGCAAGCAGTGTGTGGTGATTAATGGCACGAAATCGTCATCTGTACCTGTAACAAGTGGGATACCGCAGGGTAGTGTATTGGGCCCGCTGTTGTTTGTTTGTTTCATAAATGACATGCCTGACGTTGTACACTCCTCCATACAAATGTTTGCCGATGACGCCTGCCTGACGTTGTACACTCCTCCATACAAATGTTTGTAGATGACGCCAAGTTATTTAGGGAAATCAAGAACCAAACGGACTGTGAAGAGCTGCAGAAGGACCTCTGTGGGCTCCAAGAGTGGTCGAAGACATGGCTGCTGAGATTCAATGTCACGAAGTGTAAGAGGATGCACCTGGGGCGTACCAACGGTAAGGAGGCGTATCGTATGTCCCAACGGGATGAAGAAACTGCACTAGTTGAGACTGTGTGTGAGAAGGACCTAGGTGTGTATGTTGTCAATGAGCTGAAGTTCTCGGGCCATTGCGAGAAGAAGGTAAATCAGGCAAATAAATTATTGGGTCTTATAAGAAGGTCGTTCAGATATCTAGACGGGCCGTCCCTCGTAACGATCTTCAGGAGTGAAGTGCTTCCCCATCTGGAGTACTGTCACCCCATCTGGTCCCCGAGATATGCTAGGGACTGTCAGTTGGTTGAAAATGTTCAAAGGAGGGCCACCAGACTGGTGCCTGCACTTCGGCACCTCAGCTACCCTGAGGGATTGGAGCGCCTGAACTTGCCTAGCTTATACTACAGACGGGCAAGGGGGGACCTAGTTGAGGTGTATAAGCATCTCAGGGGGCACTACTCAGTTGAATGTCCTTACTTGGAGCTGGCGGACGCTCGCCCCACAAGGGGTCACAGCTCAAGATTGAAGAAGCCGCAAGTCCAGAAAACCGTGAGGGCAAACTTTTTCGGAGTGAGGGTTGTAAACTTTTGGAACAATCTACCAGAGAGTGTTGTGACGGCACCGAGTGTGAGCTCTTTCAAGACAAGACTTGACCAACACTGGAGAGGGTTCAGGTACATTCAGGAGCCGGTGCATGCCCAGTATTTGCCAACAGTGCGTGACAGAGACGTGACCGATCGCCCAAGCGGCTAACAAGCCGATCAGTGGCGAAGAGGGTGAAGTAATGGTCCATAATAGGCAAATTATAATGTCATATTCTGTTTCGGGGTACTCTTTATAACAGCTTGAGCTCAGTTTTCACCTGAAAGAGGTTTAGGATGTATACAATGTAACCAAAGATTGTAGAGGGAGATGATAACTCCGTAATCACTCATTTGCGACGGAAATGGTAAAATTCTTATGAATCAGACCAAATATCACGAGAAAAACAAAAATTTATATTCGAACAGTAGATGGATCTGAAACTGCAAACTTACAAACTTCAGTTCGTTGTCAGCATACATACCCAGGTCTCTTCACATAGGTCCCTATTAATGCCTCTCTTGCTGTTGACACGACCTAGGTGCATCCTCTTACACTTGCGAAGAATGAGACGTCCTGCCACAACATAATATACATCAAAGTTTACCAACCTGTTACTAAAAATTAGGAATGCTGATACTGCAGTCCGTACGACGCCACAAACTTCTCACACTGCCTGGCCAGCTGCTACTGGTCGTTTACACCCTAACTAAACACGCTCAAATACAGAAAACGGTATTGAGTTAAAGGAGTAACTTTGTTTCATTTTATCATCGGTACGGTGGTGTTACAGTACATTTCTTACATAACTATGTTCTTATATTAATATATATATATATATATATATATATATATATATATATATATATATATATATATATATATATATATCATGTAAATCCACAATGAAAACGTGGATAAGATAAATCTTGATAAAATCACACGGGAAAATGGAAACAACGTTGCCTCTGAAGATGTCTTGAATAAAGACGAAAGCTAAGGTGCTCCGTTGTTTCCATTTTCCTGTATATATATATATATATATATATATATATATATATATATATATATATATATATATATATATATATATATTACTGTATTTAAAAAACTGATGCAAATCTTCACTGCACTGTATTTGACTGTAATTAGACCTGCCTTCAGGCTGCAACTTTTATATCTAATTTCCCTTTTCTGAAGGTGATGGGTGATTGTAATATCAACCCAAAGAAGACTTGCACAAAAATTAAGTGACAAATTTTTCAAGAATGGCTCTAAAAACAAATCAAATTTAAGAAACTACAGTAATCCTGTCATGTGTAATATTTTGGCACCAATGTTAAAAATTTTATGATAAATATATGAACCAGGTTTTTAGATGCAGTACTGTACATTATACTGGAACTAAAATATTTTAAAAAATCTTAAAATCATAAAATATTATTTCATCTTTTAATACCTTCTTATACATAATATTTTCGGCACCATTGACCCTTATCTCTCAATAATGACACCTCATCTATGTAATAAAAATAAACAGTGATAAAGAGGTATTCAAGCATATAATGCAGTATTGTACTGTAAAATTTGGGTTCCAATGGTCTTCAACCCCCAAATTTTTACCATACCTTTCTTGAGATACGATTCTTTATTCATCCTACAATTAGAACTACTGTACTATAACTGCTACTGTACACACCAATAACAATCCCTATATAGTTCTCTTGATATTTTGTCTACAATAGGGTGGGAAATATTTAGACCAAGTAATGGTTGCAAGGATTTTAATATCATTTCAGCAGGAGTACATGGAAGATCAGGGAGCACATGTATAACACTAGTAGTACTGTATATTATGGAAGATCTGCAACACTATTCAGGACTGTCAAATAAATTAAAGGTCCTAACCAATAAATTATTATTCTGTTGATATTTTCCTAAAAGACAAGGGGAAGTATAAAGTCTCAAGTATTGTTAAATAGGAACTAGTACATAATAATCTTTTTTTTTTTTTAAGTGCAGTACAATACTGCACAACTTATAAACTATTCTAAATGCATTGAACTTACATTTATAAACAGTATACAATATTATATAAAGATTCAGGATGTAATAACCTGTCACCCTTATATACTGTACAACATAAATAACACATGTCTTTTAGCACTTCATAGCTCGTTATTATAATGGGTAATATCTATTGTCGTACAGCAAGATTCTGTGACTAAATTCGGGACAAGTTTCATAGCTTTATTAAAGATTACCTCATATTGTGTACTTACTAATGAGAACTATAGAATATTTCGCCATTACTTAAAATATCGAACTGTATGTCTTAAAACACAACCAGGAGTACTGTGCCTCTTTGTCACAACAGAGAGAAACCAAACCTTATAGCAGTAGTCATATATGACACATTAGTTATATATATATATATATATATATATATATATATATATATATATATATATATATATATATATATACAGTATATATATATACTGTATATATAATGAAGAGGAGAACCAGGGTAAACACAAACATCTTGAAGTAGGGCTTCGTTTAATTGCTAACGTTTCGGAAATAATCCTTTTCCATCATCAGAGCCTAAAAAGTTTTGAAAAAATTTAAAAATACAGGTGATATACAATAAAAACATAATATGTTTGTGTTTACCCTGGTTCTCCTCTTCATTATAAAACTACGCTTTCCACGTAACAAGTCCATTGCTGAAGTTTTATATATATATATATATATATATATATATATATATATATACACAGTATATTATATATATATTATATATATATATATATATATATATATATATATATATATATATATATATATATATATATATATATATATATATATATATATATATATACAGTATATTATATATATATATATATATATATATATATATATATATATATATATATATATATATATATATATATATATATATATATATATATATACTGTACAATACTGTTACCGTCACATTGCGTAGTCAGAATGAATATAAAAATAATGTGCAACAAGGCATTTTTTTTTCTATTTCTTTTTGTGCAAAACCTGAAACTGGCCAAAACAGAATTATTATTTTTGGTATACTGTATTTACTATACAGGGTATTTAGCTGATAGGAATGTTCAACTAATTTTTCACACATGCTGAATTAATACTGTTATAAGATCATTTCTCCATTCACAACACTTATTCCTCAAGATTCAATGAATGACAATGTAAACAGGCTGTTGGTGTGCACTGTTCATGACAGAAACTAAAACTAGCATTAACAGGTCCTAATTTTTAGTTTTCTCGATTACAAGAGAAATTACTTGCTAGAAGAAATACCCTACCAAAGAACACAACAGTATACTGATATTTACTTTGCATTTTAAGGCAATAACATGACTTAAGTAAGCCTTTTTTCTCCTGCATAATAGATTTGGGGTTATTTCACAAATCTACCACGACATACATTACAGGCAGTATTCTAAAGCAGTACCAGAGTAATTTCCCACTCAAGAACAAATTAAAAATTTGAGAATACGTCTTCTGCACAACATATTTCCCATACCATTTATCTTTCTTTATAACCATACACTATGGTAAAAAAAAAATGTTGCTAATAATAATAACTTTTTTTAAATATTACAATATCTAACAATGCATAGGTCAAACAATCCTGAAGAAAGATGAAGTCCTCCAAGGAGGCATGCACAGAAGACGAGGACTATGAACCTAGGTCAGACAGACTTCTACTCAACTGTGATAGGGATGAAAATGACTAGGAAGAGATGATATTGGAAAAGAGGATGGATCAAATGATGATGAGGAAGAGGAAGATAAAAGAATGTATAAGCAGCATCAGGAGAGATAAAAGGTAGCAGTACCAGCCAAGAAGAAAAGCAGGCCCTCTTCTACTAAGGTTTTGAAGACTAAAAAGAGAAATTAAGTCAATCAAGAAACTCAAGTCCAAGAAGGTGGGGAAACCAACATAAACCAAGGTGGCCAGAACTGCTGGCAGCATCTATGACATAGTCTTAGCTGCCATCGCCCCCAACATCAAGAAAGGCATAAGCCTCACTGGTATCAAGAACACATCAAGCTTCACTTCCCTGAAAGAAGGCACTGATGAAGAGCCTTGGCGAGGAGAACATCCTGTGTGCCAAGGACAGTATTGGGTCTGTTAGTGTGAGGGGCAGGTTCAAAATAAATAAAGAACGCATACAACAATAAAGATAAAGCCGTTGTCTCCAGTGAAAACTAAAAAAAATATTCATCTCAGGACACCATAGTGATGAATATTGTAAAAGCTTCAACATCATCAGCTACAGGTGTGTCTAGGAGCACTGCGGGAAAGTCAAAGATCTCAGCTTCAAAAGGAAAACAAATAATGTGGCAGAAAAAACAAAGAAGGCCAGAGTCAAAGAAGTCTTGGAAGAGGAGGCCACATATAAGAAAAAGGTGCCATGAAAGCAGCAAAAATGTACCCAGTGCATTAGTTGGCAAGAATACTACAACCAAGCAAGCCCTCATGCAGTGAAGACCTCAAAATGCAAATAAAGTAATTAGGGGTTATCTTTTCCCTGAATTGCTTTACACAGATGGATTATATATATCTTTCTCATAAATATATACTGCTGCACACAGTAAATGGGATTTTGTCATATCAATGGTTATATCATTCCTCACTGTGAGGGATGGATACTGTGCTTTATGCATCCTATTCATTCAGTAAAGATAATTCTACTCATTAGGCATATTTGTTGATACAGTATGGGCATATATTGCATAATCCATGTTAACAGTCTCTGTTCCCATTAAGACTGAATGGTACAGAACTGGCACATCCAGCTCTTTTAAACTCTCAAGAGTGAAGATAGTGGTTCTTGGAAATTTTACCAAATGATTTTCAGTGAATGGTAGTAATCCCCGATTACTTCAGGGAGTTACGATCTTGCCTTGCCAGCTTAGAGGACTCTTGGAAGTGCTACATATAATGCCCAGTTCCCACTCTATAAAAGTTAGTTGGCAACAGATAATTCATATAGTTGTAAGACTTGCTCCAAGTTTGCCCGATGGCAATTGGGACACTAGAGCTGCCAAGAATGGCATGGAGAGAAGTTATGAGAAATGACCTCAGAGATAAGACCCTGATAGGAAAGGCTGCAGACTACTTGGAGAGCTGCCATCACATAATCATAGCTAACCAATGCAAGTGTGTAAAATGGTCATAAAACAGTAATGGAAATATAAAATGTCTTGGCCATAGGAAAAAATTATACATAGTAGCACCCAAGATTCAAACCCTTATTCTCAAACTATGAGCACTCCACACTACTCTTTGATATGGAGGCCATACTGTACTTCACAAGTCAAACTGTAATTTTTAACTCGTTTATTTAATAATAGTTCAAGCTATATACTGTGTCTGTCTTCTACATGCTTTCTACAATATAAAAGCTTAGCTCATGTGGAATCACCAGAAATTTAAATTTCTATGCACATCCTCAGGTGTTTGCATAAAGACAGCCTACTACACACAGTACCTCTCTCTCATCATACCTAGTCTCACACTATTGTACATCATTTATCCTCACTCTTTTAAAGTCACTCTCTCCATATCCTGTCCCTTTTCACATTCACATTTTCCAGTAACTACATACTGTACTCTGCTTAGCATTCCTTTCAGGATATTGAACTTCTCTCGATTTTTCACTTTACTATTTTATTATACTATAGTAACCAATTTCAAGAAATGTATCGTAATTGCCTGTACTACACTTGCCATTCTTTTGATGCAGCCCTTTACTAAACTCCCTAAAAAACAAGAGCAGCAGCTAACACTCAGCAGCAAATTTTACTACATCTGATTATTTAAATTTTTACTTTGTTAATATTTTTTAAAACTCTAGATCTTTACCAAGCTTTCAACACTCATCCATCTTCTATTTACTGTCCATGTTGGATACCCTAACAAATGTATAAACTTGAAATATTTCCATCTTCAATTAACCCAATCATATTTAACAATTTCATCCCCCCTTACTCAAACACCTTATCAATTTCTCAAGGTCTAGCTAATTGTTCATACAGTTCTGTATTTAAAACTTTGCTATGGTCATTATTATGACTGTACCATCCACATAAAATAGACACACCTCATTCTTTCTACCTTGCCTCTATAAACAGAGTGTTCTTGTCAACTGCAACACAGTACATCTACAAACTTGGTATAGTAATGTACAGTATCTACATCTTACGCCCTCATCACCAGCACACAAAGAAACAGTTACAGTATTGTTTACAAGTATGACCATTTATGAATCAATAAGTTAGAAAACAACCTGAATTGGTTTCTGTACCCCCCCAATAAAAAAAGCAGTCCATTAATATTGAAGAGGATTATACAAATTTATAGTTTTGTACTAATTAACAGGAATAATACCATAAAAGATGACTTGTACTTTGAAAATAATCCTTTAATGAGTCTGTCTCAAGCAGATCTTTCATCTTAAAACCCATTAATTTGTCTCAGGAAACCCAAACTCCTCACCATAATAACTCAACATCTGCACACCAGATAAAAGGAAGCTTTACCTCACGCCAAAGCTGTGGTACAGGTACAGTACAGTACAATATATGCAAACCACACACCCAACAGGGCACTGATACTGTACTGCAGTTTGTTAATGGTAAAGAAGGACTTAAAAGATCAGTACTGCAGTAGTATAAACCAGGACCTCAAAACGTCTTTATTTATACTTGACTAATTTACTTGCCTTTGATACATAATTATTTTCCTTATCTATAAAACATGGGCATATTTCTATAACCTTCAAGGAACTAAAAACTATACCATACTATATGCACATGTTGAGAAACCTCTGAAGCTCAGCAACATACCTCATAGTTCAAGGTACTGATACATCTTTTAGCCATTCAAAGTAAATGTCTAGTAGTACCTACAGTATTATAACTTAGAATAAGTAACTACTTAATAGATTCCAATCTCTACCTGTGTACAATTAACTAATTCCATATATGATAATCTTCCACATAAACAACAATACAGTAATAATAATGATGATTAATAATTATAAAAATAAGAGGAAAACTACATTAGGGATACAATAAATTACCTTCTCTACAATAAACATTAAATCAAATAAATTACTAAGCTGCTATCACATCTGTTCCTTTTTATTCTATAAAATCTATGATATTTGAGCACTTATCTATTATTAAAACTCATATTTATATAACTCATAAAATGTACATACATGCTGGATTATATCCTGTGATATAAATCATAAAATTTAATATAACTAACATCACTATTAGACATATAAGATGTACAATAATGGAGAATAATGGTGCTCACAGTGAATGATAAAAATATATACCCGGTATATTACAGTATTTCATAAATTGCAAAATCCTTGATAAACGTCAAAGCCTCATTAACTTGTTTTAAAATCAAATACATTTAGTAGTACAGTATATGTCAATGCTGACAGACCTAAAAGTACAGCATCAATTTCCACAATTCAGCATCATGAAAGCTACTAATAATTTCTAAAATGTGTTAATACAATACAATACCAAAATTTCCAGTAACCCAAATCCAAAGTTCAAGTCTAATATATTATTTCTCTTCTTCATCTTCTTCCTCATAAAAATGAATACCTGTCATACTAATTGAGTAAAGGTCATCAAACACAGCACCAATAAAAGTTGCCAATGCTGTATTCCAAACATTTCAAAACCTCAATGAGAAAATATGACTAGTATTGTATAACAAACAGGATACAGGTATTTCTAAAGAACATACTGTACCTGACTTCCAGCATGGGGAAAAAATATATCTCCAAAGGATATACAGTAATTCCTATCATAAAAAATATATCAAGATGCTTTATCATGACACAGTACTGTACGTACTAATCTTTATTAAATATAAATCTGAGCTGAACAAAACTAATTGCAGTACTGTATATAGAACACAGTTATGGTTCCCTTAATGCTGACAGAAAAATGCAAATTACAGCTTCCCCTCAAAACATAATATTTAAGCAGTCAACTGTACATACTGGAGTGCCCAAAATGTTATTGTTATTGTGGGAGTGGAAGGGAAATATACCATAAAAAAATAAAGAGTTCATAGTAAGAATGATTATACATTACTGGTCTTACTGAAGAAAAAATATTAATAAATAATGGATTAATCAGGGGAATACAATATTAACAAAAAGGTGAAATGACCCTCTTGGCCTCCATGATCACATGACAGTGTCTACAAAAACAATGGTAAAGTCACTCTGCATTTACAATAATTTGACTTGAGGATCTTTACAGGGGTCAGTATAAAGCACACCAATTTGTTTGCAATATACCTATACTTACATTTCTGAAACCCTCGTCTCACAGGCTAAAGTTATCAAATACATTTTTGTTACAGTTACATTAAAGTCTGGGCGATTATATTTCAAAAACAATTCTTAAACGAAAAAATATGCAAGAACAATATAGACAAAGCACCATTAAAGAGTTTCCAATTCCACAACAGGATAATAATTTACTTTCTTGTTTCAAATACAGTAAAGTACAGTACTGTAGTTATTTCTGACACTAGTTGATGTAGGGTGAAATAAGATGTTCTACTGGAATATCTAAGAAAGCTATTCCCTCCCAACTTTGCTTGTAGAGAATTAATATTCTAAAAAAAGACAAATTAATGTACAGTAGTGTCTGTTTCTTCACAAAACACAGACACCTGAAAGGGGATTTAATATAAAACACAACTAAAGCAAAAATTATAAAATATTAAGTTGAAAGTAAAAAATATGAAGCTAAAACATTGAGCTCCACACTAGAATGACCATGACTTCAACTGTTGGCAATAAAACAAGAATAAAAAAACCCCTCAGGGATGAGGTTAATGTTAAACAAAATATTATCTGTACTGTATATGTGATGTATAAACAAGAAACATCATTTGTAAAATACTGTTTTAAAATATACATACAGTATCTATTTCCAACTTAATAATACGGTGCCATAAAAGGTGTGTAAATGAAGGACCGCAGTATGTAAACCAAGTTCATGAACAAGAAGAATAAATGATCTTTGATACCCAGATTGTTGATACAATACATCCTCTGCTAAAACATCCCTTTACCAGAGGTCTCCACACATATACGTACTGGCAGAATACTGTACACAATCCATGCACACAAGGCCAGACAGTGTTTTTGCAACAAATGGCATATTCTCATCAAATTGAGAACTGAGGTTGAAGATTTGATCCAATGGTTGGCGAGAGGTTCAGTGAGGCTGAATTATTTCAGTACTCTCACGAGATTTAAATTCTTCGTGGCCATTAAAGGAAGTTTACATGCCAGTCATCTCATTTTCCGTTAACTTGTAATCCCACTTAGGGAAGCAGGGTGACCAGTTGACTAATTAGTGCCTCTTAGTAACAAATGTTATTTCACAATTAAATCCTTAATGACCCACCAGGCTTCAGAGTGATCCGAGATTATTAATTAGCTGGAAATGGTGAGAAGGAAGTAATTTGTTAATACCTGTACTAGATGCTACACGTACCTCAGTTGGGGAGTGATCACTTCTGTACAAGAAGTAAGGACTCACATAATTGTTACTTCCTATAGCCACACATTCCTGAGCTGTGTGATTAAAAAAAAAAAAAAAAATCATAATGGATTCTTCTCTCCATTGGGGTTAGAGCTAAGTCAAAACCTCATAAATGATGTGTTCTGGTCATGTTGTGAGTTTACCTGGATTTAATTAACAATCAAGTATTAATACATATCTCTTACTGGCGTAAATCTGATTTAAAAGATAATTGGTTCATTTTATGGTAACAAAGGTTTAAGATAAATTTAAATTCTTACAAGTGAACATGGATAATATCATCTAACATATTTCTTCCCTCCTTCTTATACTCTATATATAAACACATGTACTGTACACACTTGAGCACAGGTAAAGGGTGGCAGACAACCATCTACCTAAACATCACTGATCTCAACCTTATGAACAAAACTTAAGAGCCAACATAACTTTCATACCCAATGACAACAATGGCACTTTGGTGGTGCAAGATTGGAGAAGATTGGCATACAAACTTCCTTTTATGGTCTGAAGAAGTTTCAATTATGTAAATCTACTGAAAGGGTTTTGATTTCCGACCCGAAGCTTCATTGGATCTTAGATCAACTTTCAGACTAAATGGAATAAATTCTTTGATCCTGATCCTGATACACCCAGGTGAGAAAGTCCTGCTTGTAGTACAGTAGAATCATTATTTGATTTTGTTGACTTAGTGTATGCTGCCATTGAATATAATTATGAAGTCCTCTGGTAAAAGACAGTTCTGTCAGATGGCACTTTAGCAGCCTGAATCTCACAGGTCATTTGGTGAAGCCCCAGAAGTTAAAAATCGGTTAATTTAACACTTATAATTATCTTAACTTTAAAAGTAGACACAAAGTCAAGTAAAGCTCTTTAATTAAGTATCTATTATACAGTAAACCTAACTGAATGAGATGTGCTGAAATTTGGCACATTCTCTGAGGTAATTATTACTTTTTAATCCACAGCACTATACTTATCCATTATCACTAACTATTAAGTAAAAATGCATAAATAAAGTAGTTAAGTGATTTGAACTATTCAAGCCACTAAAATAAAATAAAAATTGCATGCCAACAGATTCATGCATTATCATAAAGATTAAAAACATCATTCATGATTACTTTCAAATACTGTGTATCAAAAACTACATTTACTGTGATCCCCATTACTGCTACAGTTAACATATAATTAAAGCAAAGAATTTCAGCATTTGAAGAAATATTCATTTCATAATTCCCATTTCCATGCTGAATATACATCATTTAACCATAGCTAATATTTCTAAAAAATTAACCTGTTTAATAATGTCTTTTGAAAACTTTGGGGTTAGCATCACCTAGAGTGCAAGGCTCAAAATTACTTACAGCACTTTTAGTCACTTCGGTCTTGAAAAAATATTTTTAAAATTTCAGGTTTTTTCTGACATATTCATTATTATTACACTAAATGCATTACTACCTGATGACAATCATAAACATGAGATAAAAATTAACTCGTGTATTATTATATTTATTGCACTTGTTTATATTTGCCGTTCATATATCACCTCTGATATATTCTGAATGCCCCCAAGTCCTGCAGTTTATTCCTGTACGTATACCATAAATCAATACAGATAACAATCTGTGTCATCTTGAACAACATAAAATACAGATCAATATAAGAAGCCCTTTGTTAATACCCTTACAGAGAACCAGTATATTTTCAGCAGGTCTTGTTGATATCATCACTGCATTACAAACACGTCCAAGATCAAATAACAGAGGAAAGCAGCCATAACCTAGCCTATGACCTTCATATATGGCACCTGTTATTTGACCCTTATGATATTCACTTGGAATTCCTAGGTTATTTATCTATATTATTTCTGCATTGTATTTCTAAATTTATATGAAAGTCAATATTATAAGTGTTTAAGCTTTTTAAGTAAACTGGCCAGTATAGTCACCAATGTGGTCTACATTTTGAGAACTACATGAAGCTGAAGTGTTGACTAGATCATAAAATGGGCGGGGAGGTGGATGTCTTGTTAAGTCACAGATGGCTTGGGAAAACATTTAAAAAATCTTCCATTTTATGAAAACAAAGTATATTTATGTGCTGTGCTATATAATGAATAAAAGCATCCATAACAGCTGTGTATCTTACAACAAACTGTATAGAAAAATTATAAATAAAAGGCCTGGGGCTAGTCATAAAAAAATTCTGCTTGGGCTTTAAGCATTCATCAGTATTCACAATAAGTTTTTACTAAATACCTGTTAAAAAATAAAATGACATGGGCTCGCCTCTTTAAGTACTCCAGAAACAATGCATAAAAGATAAAGGAATAAAATTAAGGATGTAGCAAAGACTGTTAATACTAGTTTTTTGCTGATGTAGGGAGAGGCAATTTACTTCCTGCTGGTTTCCCCCTTGATACAGAAGATGGCTTGGGAATGGATGAACCCTGTCGTTGAGTTCGTGGTGAAGGTATAGGAGAGGGAGGGGTGGTGACTTGTTCAGGAGTGGAGCCAGAAGTGTGTCGACTCGATCGAGACATGGCTGAATTACCACGTGTCACAGACGCTGAAGACCTATGTTGTGAGCCGCGGGACAAGGAACGCAGATCTTCAGCAGCAGGTGAGGAACAGCGTGATGTGGCTGGAGATGAACTTGTACTCCCATTACGGCTTCCACTACGGCTACCTCTGCCAAAGCCACTCACCGGACCATCTAACCCTGGGGAAGAACAACGCGAACCCCCAGGAGATGAACTGCAGCTTGTAGGTCTAGATCCTCTGTTCCTTGGCGTACGAACTTGAGGTTGCCTTAAACGTGAGCCAATAACATTAAGGGTTCTGGGACGATTTTCTGTTTCTTGAGGTGATGTGTGAGGGGAGGCGGCACGGGAAGAATTTGGAGACACTGTCGGAGAGGTAGGAAGAGCTAACCTGGAAGGAGATGTACGTAAGTTTTCATGACTGAGAGATTTTGTACGTGATGGAAGTGGGCCACGAGAAGGAGATGAAGCAACAGTAGAAACTGGTCTGCTGGGACGTGATGGTGGTCGAAGTCGGGTCACAACATTACTACCAGTTGACCCACTGCCACCTTGGCTACCTCTTCTAGTCCCTGAAGAGGTCTGTGAATCCCTATGATTACTACTTTGCTCATCCTGACCACGAGGTGAATCATTCTGGTGTCCTAATGTACCTGGTGGTGCAGGTATTCTACTTACTGAAGTGTTGGTGGAAGGTTGTCTCAAACGGGAACCACCCAAATTATTGCTACCTCGACTCTTGTTATCCATGCTACCACCTTCATTGCTAGAGGATAGATGGCTAGCATAAGGGCGATCTGAAGGCCTCCAACGAGAAATCCGTGTTGCATTGCTCTGTGGAGTGGGCAGACGACTTTTGATGACGGATTCATCAATACGTATACCGGCATCAACCAAGAACTCATCCGTGGTGGGGTCGAGTGTAGACATGCTGGGGAAAGAAGCAGGATGAGTAAGGCGCCACGGAGGAGAAGCTAAGGGGGGATGGGGTCTTGGGCGGGAATAAGGTGTAGGAATGAGACAAGGAGGAATACGTGCCAGAGGGTGAAGGCCATGCTGCAGCCAGGAAGCACCCAGAGGTCCTATAGGGTAAGCTGGTGGTGAAGACCAGGGTGCTAACTCTGCAGTGTCTAATAAAAAATATGAATGGGGAGGCTGCTCCAGCATTCTAGTTTCGTGTTCGCGGGTTCCTCTGGGTCGATCGCCATCGTAGCCGTACGGAGGATAATGCTCTCGTGGATAAAGTTCAGCAGCAGCAAACATTTCTGCATGATAAGGGTCTGGGCTGAATGGTTCAGTAAAAGCAAGTGAAGACAGATAATCTTCGGGGTGATCATAAGAGAAGTGTGTGGGGAGAGAATGGGCAGAATACATAGCAGAGAGATGAGGAGCAAGGGTTGGGGGAAGACCATGATATATGTAAGGATCTTCAGAATCCCGAGGATAAGCAACTCGACGTGGCCTACTGTCATGCAGAGGCTGGGAAGAACGTTCTCGCTGACGGCCACCCAATGAACTGTCGTTTTCATTTGGATGACTAATATACTGTATGTGGTGTGGGGATGGATCAAGAGAACGTGTTGAGTTGTTATATTTTTGTGAAGAAGTTTCTTCTTTGTTGGATGGACTGTAATAATGAGATGACGACTCTGGATAATTTGTGATTTTGTTATGACGTTTAGAAGATTTATCTGAGTGATGAGATCGAGTATTATATGCATCCAATGATTCACTCCTTCGGGGAGATAAATCAAAATGTCGATTTTTAAGAACAGAAGTTTCATAATGATGAGAGGGAGGACTACGTCGACGTGACACTGCATCATAGTTTCCAGAGCGTTGAGATGATTCATGACGGTTGGGCTCATGTTCATTTTCATATTCCTCCGACTCTGAAGAACTGTGATGGCGATGACGGGTATGTTGTGGAGGCCAAGTATACATACCGTGTGGACTAGGCGGGCTGGCTGTGCTGTGGGAACTCGGAGACTGAACTTTGTTGTCTTTATTGGTGTGACGACGGCCGTCGTAGAGAATATCGGGATCTTCGGTGTCGGAATGACTGCCTCGTCCATCTATTGACCAACCTCGACCAAACCTATTTCGCCGTGGCTCTTCGGGGCTCGTGTCTGCCGATGCCACTTTTCTTCGCCAACGGGGACGAGATGTACGTAGCCAGAAGACCTCCCTCGCTGAAAGTTTCTCTGATATTCGGTCTCCATTATCACCATTGTCAGAGGGCAATGCTGAGAAGGGTGATCGACGGGAAGATACGGGTTTGCTCCGTTTTTCTGAGATTCTCTCTCGAGTATCTGCATGGCGATCCCTCGATTCAGAAAGTCTATCCCTAGATCCTGACAAACTATCTCTAGAACCTGAAAGATTATCTCTACAAGTTGAGAGATTATCTCTGGATTCTGAAAGTAAATCTCTAGATTCCAAATGCCTGTCCCGTGGGTGCGGCGATCTACTGGCACGTGATGTAGTTGAAGATGGAGGATCTCTGGTGATCCTTGGAGACTCAGGAGAAAGCTGTTCCTCCCAGTCAATACTAGGTTCTTCAGGACTAAGAAGAACTTCATCACAGATGTCACTAATATCCAATTCGTTGTCATCGTCATCATCAAGAGACCAATCAGAAGGGTTAGTAGCAGAGCTAGGAGATGTGTTAGTGGTAGAAGCTTGATATCCAGCACCCCTGTAAGGCACACACATTTCAAAGTTAGATACCTGAAACATAACAGTGATTAAATGCTGCCTGGACCTTTTCTTTATTCATGCACATAATTCTAACGCAGGGAAGTTCAGGCCGTCTCAATGGAGGAATCATTAGAAGTAAGTGGAGATCATAAAAACAAAAATGTCTTTAAAATGGCTCCTTTACAATCTGTATGCATCTACAATCTAATTTAGTTTTGTCATATAAGACATAATTTAGTCAAATTAATAAAGTAAGAAGGGGATTATTGTACAGTTAACCCATAGTGGTACTTGTAATAGCAGATTTATTCCATGTCTCAACTTGTTTTCTCTGGACACACAATTGTCTCATAAATGTTGTACAGTACTTAGGTTGTTAGCTATGTTTCCTTGCTCTTCATTCAAACGTTTAAAGGTTTACTAATTTAAACTTCTTTATATTGTTGTTTTCCAAGACATTTATGGTGCTTTATCATGTTTCCTTTATTATATAGCAAAATGCCAAGTTTAGTGCAGAACTCCTAAAATAATGAACAAAGTGCAATGAAAATCAAACTCCATTTGTATTTTTATGGGATATAACTGCATGTCAAATTTAAATTAGAAGCATGTGGTGTTATTACAAGCACTTGACATCAATATAAGCATCTGTGAGCCACTGGGTATTACAATAAGCACAAGAGGGGCAACCTGGCTCCTTATGAGTATATGAATAATTTGGCACCATTTGGATTACTGACTGTACAGTACTTTTGAGACATTGAAACTGAAAGTGGTTCCCATAAGCATGACTGCCCATTAGGGACAGTGTGGATCCTGCACACAGCATATTAAGCCTGGACGTTAGGTGCTAAAAATACAACAAGTTCACCAAGTTGTTGCCTCAAAACAACTCCAGCAAGAGTACTGGGGGATACTATACAGGGCTGGTCTCCTTTCTCCCAATACGGCCATACTTGTGGTGGCACCTTAGTAATCAATGCTTAAAACCCATCTGAACTCCTTAATCTCCAGATCAAACAATACTGTACTTCATTCCCATCTGAACTAATTCATCTCTTTATGAAATATAGTTCATATTGATCTGATCAGTACTACTTAATCTGTTTCGAATAACCTTTTATTCTGATCCAATCTGAATTCATTAATCTCCAGGAGACAACTTTGTACTTCAAATAAACATACTTCAATAACCAGAGTTGTAGTACAGTATTTCTTTTTGTAGAAGACTTGTGCACTTACACTTTAACCCAGTGATTTTCAACCAATGTGCCGCGGCACATTGGTGTGCCGCAAAACATCCGTAGGTGTGCCGCGGGAGTTTAAATAGCATTAGGATAGCATTTTAAAAAATAGCATTTGGATACGTTTTGACATTACTGGTACTTTTATGGAGCGCATTAAACTCCTTTTTTTCAATGATGCAATAAATAAATAAATGTGTTGTTCATTAAAAGCCCAAATGGCAGTTTTAAATTCTCTCCTTAATTCCGTTGTGTAGATCCACCGATCTCCACTGCCAGCCGTAAGATACTGATGGTGTGCCTCGACCATTTTAGTGCCAGGCTTACTGTGCCTGAGATGAAAAAGGTTGAAAATCACTGCAATTTAACCTATCATTAGTTTCTTCCATGTCTTCACTAATTACAAGTCTTTGCTACTTTATCCACCATTATTCCTGGCCTAATCAATGTTACCCACACATTCAATACTTTTTTAATCAAAGCAAATCCAAGTTGGTCTTTCTGCCTCTGGACAAAGTAATAAACAATTCTACTGAACTCACTAAATTTTTGTTCCTTGTAACAGTACTGAGCATGATGAACACATAGTACAGTAATAAGATGCAACTATTTTAACATTTAGAATGATAACAGGAATTGGCCCAGGCAACAGTTCATCATCTATATAATAAGAATTAAAAGGAATTAACCTAATTATTACTAAATCTGAACAATTTTACCAAAATTTCTAATCACAGGTTGGTTAACAGCCATCTTAAATGATAGCTCAACTAACATGCAATAGTTTCAAAGAGATATTTAGAAAAATGATTCGCTAACATGATACATTATTTCCAGATACAGTAAACCTTTCCTGATTTCCTTTACCTAAACCACAGTAAGATCAACTTTACAGACATGCTCAGTTAATGACAACTTTGAGTAAATCCTTGTGATAAGTTATAAGTCTAATTCATAATATAATTTAACCATACTACTGTACTTTAGAGAACAATGAGCAATATCTTCCAGAAATATAGTTACAATAACAAGTTAACCCTAATTAATACAGTACAAAATATTCTTTCATTACGCTCTCCCACATACATATAGTACTGCATAGTAGACTGTCTCACATCTGTGCTCATCGATTTTAACGCATCAGACCTTTGGAAGATTTGGGTTAAAGAAAAAAAATAAATGCGAAACACTGTGAACTATCCCCAGGTACATTATTCCTCACCATGTAAGATGCACCTCCCCCTCCCCAAGTATCCAACAATCACCCTGTTCTTATATGTAGAAAGTTAACCCTAGGAGGACTAAAACCAAGACTTCCATTTGACATACTGGTTCTCAGATGACCCGAGAATGAAAGACAATACAGTCCCAAACCCAGCAATTTTCCACATTTTCATAACTCTGACAAATTTTACACAGTGTATAACAAATTGCCAGCACTGTACCTCTAGCCACCATGACTCAGGTACAATACTTTGCTGGGTCAGATGTAAGAAGGGTTCTGGCCAGTGTAACTTGCTTATAATGTAATGATCTTTATAATGACAGATGTGAGAAAGTTTACAGCATAAACTATAGAAGTATGAAACATGATAACCAAGTCCATACTATCTTATCTTTCTAATCTCTCATCAAAGCAGGATGGTCAATGTTGAATCTCTTCCAGATACTTAAACCAAGTTTAATCCCTTAGAACTTAAAATGTTCCTTTAATAAAGTTGACAACATAAAAGTTTGTACTAATCATTTGAGTGATGTTTACAATCAAAGGTGGGCGCGCGCAACTTTTTTTTGCGCCGCATCCGCAACCATTTTCAAAAAGTTTCGCCGCAACCGTGACTCTACTGAAATAGTTTCGCCGCAACCGCAAACCGCAACTTTAAAAAAATAAATATAAATAAACAAATACTAAAATAAAAAAAATTGCCTATTTGCAAGTAAAACAAAATATAATTGATTCAAAAAAATTTATATTATCAATATTTTATTACAAAATTACAAAAAAAATGCCTCACTGCCACTGGCCTCAGTCTCAGTGGACTGGCTGTCAACAGTCTCAGTCACTTCAACTTCCGTGTCCATGTCCTGGTAGGCAGGATCACTGCTGCCGGCCACAGACTCCTCCTCGTCACAAAACGATCCATAATACTAGTAATAACAAGAAACAAAATAACAAGAAACTGACGCCTTAACTGCAGTGCTACTGACTGCCTGACTGGTTATGATATGAATCATTTCCCCCCTCCCCTCCCCTCGCTGTAGTTGCCAGATTTAATCTTTCACATTAACTCTAGTTTCTAGAGTTTATGTGAAAGATGAAATCTGGCAACTACAGCGAGGGAAGGGGAGTGAGGGAGCAACGGATGGGTTTCATCTGGTTTACAGTTCAGAAATAAGCTGCCCGACCTGTATCAGGTGTATGCTGAATCATTCCATCAGAAACAGAAATTTTCATAATGCGCTGCTCTAGGGATGCCCGTTTGTTTATGCAGTCGTATTCCAATTTTTAATTATTGCCCAAAAAAATTTGCGCATTGCGCATGCGTTTGAAAATGCTTGTAAAAGTTGTGCCGCAACCAGTTCCGCAACACTCTGGAAAATCGTGCGGCTCACCAGCCCACCTTTGTGTACAATACAATCACCACATTTACCAAAAATAAATTCTTCTGAAATTATATCACAGTTAAGACATCCAGTTCCTTAAAGGTTTCATGGGAAAAATAGTCACACACATTTTACTTTTATATGCTAGATTAAATTTTATTATTGATAATCCACTGAATGAAATGATTTGAGTGCTGGAGAGAATTCTTTTATGAAACACCCTGCTTATATTGGGGAGGTGATTTGAGACATACACTGAGATGAACTTAATCATACATATAGACATATTAATGCCACACTATTTCATGTGTGATGCAAACGTGCAGGAACAGTACATCAATGACACTAGCAAAAGTGTAAACAAAACTAAAACAAGCTGTGTTTACTGATACAATACAATGCAGAACAAAACTTCTAATGCTGCTGTTGACAGGCAAATAATATCATAGCATAATACACTATTTCTTTTATCTTGCATGGACTAATTTATTCAGAATACTGCTGTATACAGCTTTAAGGGAATTAAATATCAACCAAAAATTAAAAGAAGCCATTCATTCTCAAATGAAGAAATGTAAAAAAGAACATAAATCATCTTACTGTAATTAGTTTCAGTGCACAGTGTACTCATCCCAGCAAATTTCCAATTGCTCTCGCCCTCTTACACATACATGCATTTTCTCTTCATGTTAAGGGAATAAAATAGTACAGTACAGTGGGTTATGCTATAACGAACGGATTCTACTACGAATATTCCTATAACGAACGGTTTTACCTATAAAATTGAGAATGCTATAACGAACGAAACTCCTACAACAAACATTATTTAAAAAAAAATTTATTTATTTATTTTTTTTTTTTTTACTAATTTATTGTTTTTTATTACAAATATTAATGATATTCTTTATTTCAAGGGTTTAGATGCATATTTATGCAATTTTTTACAATTTTTACAATTTTATATTATATTTTTCAGTGTGAAGTGGTTGTATTTGGGGGCCTGGAATGGATTAATCCTATAACGAACGAATGCTATAACGAACAAGGTTTTAGAACCAATTAGATTCGTTATAGCATACCCCACTGTACAAAAAAGGTTTTGTTAGGTGACAACAAAGCTTCCCTACAAGTGCTTTTCAGTATCACTCAAGCAAGATATTCCATTCTATGAGTAAGGAGGAAAAATATATGTCCTGCAAGATCGGCCATGTTGCTAAAACCCCTTTTGCTTGTGCCTGCCTGTTGCCAGACGGCTGTAACATGCTTAACTGCAAGCTCCACTATCCTAAAACACCATATTTTCTTTTAAGACCACCTGGCAAAAGCGGGCTCTGCCTGAGGGTGTTTTAATATAACCTTCACACAACACTTGCACAAGGACCAAAGACTAGAAAACTAAACACATTATCTACACTAGTAACAAAACAAACTATAACATTAAGGGAATAGTATAAGTTCTCCTTGCAACCTGTGCAGATGCCTTAAAACACTGAACATATTCTCTCTAAATGTAGTATACAGTATCTGATACATTTACCTCAGATAGTACAGTATATATATAATTTTATCTACATGAGCTGATGACAGAAATGTACAGTATTTGAGTCATCTACAGTACCCCGAGTAACCAGGCACACTGCCTCTATACATTCATTATCATTCTCAGTACAGTCGCCTGAAATATTAAACAGGGAGTTACTACTGCCTGGGAAAATATTGGAAGCATAATGTGTTTTCCAATGGTAGATCCTGCTGCCATATGGCATCACAAAAATTGTGACAAAGTCCCAGGTTGCTCATCTGACTGACTTGCTGCTTCATTTACACACAATTGCAGGGTCTCAATTATTTCTCTTACATTGACAAAACAATACATATATTGTTTCTCGCCCTCGATCTGTTTATTTTATTTTTTCCATTTCTGCATTTAGTTATTAATGGTGCAATTTATTATATTTCTTTTTCTTTCTTCCCCCCCCCCCACCCCCCAGGCTCCGATATGGGTCAGTAACCTGTGTCCGGGTCGGCTAATCCCCATAGAAAATAAATAAATAAATAAATAAACTTAAGCTTCTATATTGCTGTAAATGGCAGAAATAACATGCATTGACTAGAGTAGAGCAAGTACCTACACAATACATCTAGTACTCAGAAAAGCAAGCAATTCAGTACTGTACGTACTCTATTATGAGGTAAAGAGGAGTAAAATAAAATAATGATAACATACAAATGCTCTAAGGGTTTAAAAAAGAATGATGATTAATGACACAGCTGAAATTTATGCACGATAATAAACATTTACATATAAAGTGATTATCGTATTTAAACTTAACAGATCTAAAACAATTTAGGAAAAATGTCATTACGTATTTATATTTTCAAAAATAAAGAAAAACTCTCCGACATGAAAATACCAATAACTGAAAGTGAATTTTGTAAAACTTATTTGGTGCACCTTGGGAAAATTCTTACAAATATTTGGTGTGTGGTGTTTGTGTGTATGTGGCACAAATATGTACTGTATTATACTAATGAAGAGGGAAATGACAAAAGACTGGTTTTGGAAATTCGCAAATCAATTAACTACATTAAATGAAAATTTTGTGTAATAAAATGTGGGATTTAAATTATAAAGATGATGATGATGGAGCAGGAGGAGAAAAAGTAGAGTGTTACTAATTCATGGATTACTCTCCACCACCACAGTCTAGATCACCCAGCCCTTTAAGATTTAGTGGCATAATACCAAAGGCACTTGGGAATGACAAAATTAGAAAAAATAAGCATAAATCATATAATAAAAAAACTGGGATATACAGTACTCTGGAAAAATAAAGAAGGAACATTAATTGTAATAGTAAGTACACACGATCAAAGAAATATCTGTGCGCACTGGGTCCGATGACTTCCTAAATGATCAATACAGCTATGCCACAATGTAACCACCACCATGAACCATGCTACACATTGTTCCCAAGATTAATCTATTTTCTTTTGAATGTACACATAATAACAATATTTACTATGGATAAAACAGCAAATTTCACTACCAAACAACATATTTTGCAATATCCATCGTTTGTGGCATCAGATTGTTTAAAGCAAAATGTGCAAAAATACTTTATTGATAGTGTGTACATCGTACAGTACAATACATTTCTAAAACAAAAAGAAGGCAAGCAAGCTGGAAAAAATAAAAAATAAACATTAATGCATTTAAACAAAATCAACAAATTTAAGACTTCCAAATATTAAAATAATCATATGAAATCATTAAACATTATGTACATCAATATACATGTACCAGTAACTAAAACACATACAGAATAAGAACATTAAAAGATCTTCATACATATAATAAACATTACCTATAAACATTATGAGCGAATCTATTATCTACTGTTTTGAAGCCGACTTATCTGAGAGCTGCATGCACCAAGCATTAACCTTTAAGGAAAAATCATCATAGCTGGACAACATTATTACTGTATTCCACATAACAGAGACGGAGAAGCACAATGCACACACTCGCAACAACTAAGTATCTCGTGCTACCTACACTCATACTTTCCACATACAGTAATTAAGACGACGACATCAGCAACTGAATAACTTTAAAAACAACACTAAGATATTATTTATAAATCAAACCTATTTTAAAGAGATGGAAATTCATATTTCAATCATACAGTGTTTAATACCTACTGACATCCTCTTCAATTGTCAGTAAAAGAGTGACCCTTTCACACGTTAGTTGGCATCAAACACGGTGTTGAAGAAATATAAGTCTCCATCATTTTAAAGTGAGATTAATTTATAAATAAGTGTCATACTGCTTAGAATAAATGAAAGAATTCTTATCTGAGTGAGACTTTGTGATGCAATCATATCCAAACTTTCAAAAACTTTAGAGTGTAGTAACCAGTGGTCACAAACTCCCTCTGCTAACAGTATATCTCACACCTACCGGAGTATTGTGTGTTCATCTGGTGGCTGCTTGGGTGCATGAGAGTTACTGCGCCTCCTTTCTAAATACGGGGGCAGTCGACCGATACCAGAACTGCGACGGCTTGATCTTTGTCCTGAACGTCGCTCACCTAGACTTCCTCCTTCACTTCGATTTCCATCTGTGTTTAATAGAAAAATTAATGAGCACGGCATATATAATATATAAAACTCTTACAACTCCTTGTCTACAGTGTTTACATTCTCTCTCTCTCCACATTTTTGAGGCCTTGACAGATCCTAAATTACTCATTAATCAGGAAACCCAATAGGCAACTTGACTTTCGCCTATTTTTTTAAACATTCGGGGGGGTAATACTAAAGTGGATTCTTGGACGTTGAGTTACGTGTAAGTAACCCAGTAAATGGATGTGTTAAACTTGAATGGGTGTTTACCTTACATTCTCAGAGAAATCTGTGATTTCGGGGTAAAAACGAAATTCTCCTATTGCCTCACCCTTCCTCTTGGAGGAAATTGTACATTTGTTTCAAACTGCATTACAGAATTTCCTAAAATTCTGAAGCCATTACAATTAAAACAACAACACAGATTGGCCTACACTAGGCAGCCCAATGAACATCGACAACAAGCTGTTTACTATCAGTCTATGAATTATTTGCAAAGTTTACTTAAAGCATTTATAAAACTGAACACTTAGGTATTATATTAACACTCGGGGTTGCCCAAATTAATTAGTATTACAAGACTTAATCTTGGGGTCGCTGTATTTGCCCTTGAAAGCGTATAAACATATTTTTGGTAGTGATTTTTTTGCAGCTAAAGAAATTAAAAATGATGTTAGTGAAATGTCTTAAAATGAAGAAAATGTGTGAAGAATGATATATATTATGATGCATACACACTTACAGGATCCATTCTGATACAGCAAATGGCAAAGTAAAACAAAAAAAAGGGGGGGATCTACTCCACTATTATTGTGATACTATAAAAATATACTGTACACACCTGGAGATTTTTTGTCTGTTGCCTTGGAGCCATTGACAACTCTTCGTTCTTGTCTCTCCTTCCTCTCATCCTCTGTCTCTTGACCACCAGAGTCACCCTCTGGGGAGCCACGCTGTTAACACAAAACAATAACTGCATTAAATGCAAAAACACAATGACATTACAACAGAAAATCTTTCCATACATTTGTTTTAATACATGTACAGTATACAGTAATTATCACCAGTGTACTGCCACAACATGTGTTAAGGGTTACTGTATACATAGATCCAAATTTCTGGAAGCACAGTTTGGCTGCAGTTCATATTACAAATGATTCTATTGTCTAAGAAGAAACTATGTTATCAACCAAAATAACAGACAAGGCATTGTACTTATAGACTAGCTGCCAAAGGTAATGTGAAACTGTTGGACTAAAATAAAATTAAGCCAATATACAGAACATGAATTGAATGTGTTACCATAATTCTTTGTACATAGAAGAACTGACTTGTGTGTTCATCTTAAAATATCTCAGTAAAGGGGTTTACACTCCTGGTGAGGAAAATATATGGCACAGTAACTTCTTAATCAACATTCTACATTTGCACACAGGCATGATGTCTTAATTAAATAAATTAATAAAATAATTTTGTAAATGACAAGTGCAATACTGTACAGTACTTATATTAATTATCTAAGTGATCATTGGTCAAGCCATATTCCTTTCTTTCAAGGCTGCTTGTGTTTTGAGGTGCTTGGTATAGTATACTGTACAGTATTACATACAACAAAATAATCAAACTTACTCTACTAAGATAATACCAACAACTCTTTCTTGGCCAGTTACATTGATTGCTCATAATTTCTGTATAAATATGACAAATATTTCTATACGGTTTAATTTACCTTTGGATTCCTTGTTAAACAATATTGTTTCTGCCATAAACAAAGAAGTGAATAAATCTATCTAGGAAAACAGTAAACTGCATTGAAGAAACCTAAAACCTGATGACTTAATAGACTTATTAAACAAACTTGATATTCATCATGAGGTACAGTTGCCAGCAAAAGTTCTCCCACAGCCCTGTGTAGCAAGTTTGTGAGAGGACTTTTGCTGGCAACTGTACATAATCTTCACCTGTTGTTTTTGTTCCCATGTTAGTTACTAAATTTTTAATACCTGGCATTCACAAACTTCAATCTTGTCAAGCTGAGTGATGGTGGTGGATATGGCAGCTGACACATCTCGGTCACTCTCACTCATCAATAAGCTGCCTACTACTGTCTCCAGCTCCTGTAACATATAACTTATATTAAATACAGTACTGTACTGTACTTAAATTGTGTAAAACTTCAATCAGAAGGAAGAGCTCAATAGTCTGCTCTCACTAAAGATGTTAACAACAAAAATAAAGTATTGTACTTATACTCTACATAACCTTCACCCTACCTTCAGAAGTCTGAAACAATATACAGTACTGTACTGTACTTTATAGGACAAATATATCAAAGATATATACATAATGATGGTGGTAGCGGGACTGAATTATAAGCATGTATAAATAGTTCAACTGACACATCTTATGTAAAGTTAAAAAAGGATGGCTAATCTTGGACAGTCAATTTACAGACTAATAAATAAGATTTATCATCCATGATAACAATGGGTTTCACATATACAGTATATCCTTGAAGATATAAGGGCGAGTTACTTGGCACTGTAAGTTAAAAAAGAAGCATTTTCAGCTCTTTCAAGCCTTTTCTCATTAAAGTGTGAGATGGATGGAACTAGGAGCAATTTCACAAACACACAAACAATTTTTCCCTTCAACTATTATCAACCCAATATTCTTTTTGGTGTAACATTATTGTATCTGCTCTAAAGCTGTACTGTACTCCTCTTCCACAACAATGTGCCAACTATCCATGTGGTTGACCAGTGTTACTTCATATGACATAACATCATCCGCCTGTACTACATCCCCCCCCCCCCCAAAAAAAAAATGTGGAAAACATGAAGGTACATCTAACCTGCAGTCGAGCTTTATCCTCAGGTAGTGAGATTGTAGCTTTCATCTGGGGAAGTAATACCACCAACTTCAACCGAATGTTGGCAACTCTGTCACCTGAAACAGAAAGTTTGGTAATAAGAGCCTAATGCTGTACTTCTATCAAAGACACTTGAGGTATATGAGTTATAAAAACAATTTTATCAAAAGTTAAACAATGCAGAGGTGTGTGTAAAAAGACGATAAGATTAACTCGTGTTCTTTAAGATGAAAATAGTATTCTTGTGTGACAGTGTTTATAACTTAGGATGATTTATAACTTAGGATGTCTTATAACTTAGGATGTTTTATAACTTAATAGGGAAGAAAGATCTCCTTGTACTGCAGATGGGTTATAACGTACTGTATACTGGACTAGTGTCAAATTTCCTGGAGTTGGGGTCTGAAATGTAAGGCTGGTTAAAGTTATAAAGGATTTTGCAAGATTCTGACCTGTTTTGGGACACATTTCATCAGCAATAAAGGAGATATATCATTTAAACTTGTGGAGGTCAGCACATTCAACGTAATTAATAATCTGCAATATATTTATTTAATGAACAATGTCCTTTACTTACTATGTAAAGACAGCAGTGGCCTGAAGAAATATGATTTGAAGAAAGCCTTGGAGAACATCTCAAGAACCAATGTAGCTATGTTCAGAAACAGCATTCTCTTGTGACAACTATTTCCCTCACAAAATTCTGTAAAAACATAAAATCTTCAAGATAATGTTTTACTTTAACATTTGTTCTTAATGCAGAATTGTTAAATCAGGGGGTTAGTGGCAGTGTCCTGTAATAGAGAAGTAGAGTGAAAAAGTAGTAAATATCATTTTTGGCAGCTGTTCAGATTCTTTAAAATTACTCTGATCTCACAATACAAGATAATTTTGGGCATATACAGTATGTAAATACTGTAAGATAATTCAAATTTCTGTTTGTCAGCTTAAAGATTTCATCCACAAATATTAACCTTTACTTCTAAGAAGTGAAAATTAATTTACTTTCTATCCACTTATTTCTACACAAGCAACAATTCTTTCTTGTCAATAAGCAATTTAATTCATGCAGCATCTCCTCCAAACATCCTCCATGATAAAGCCCTCACCCAGGCACTCCCTCTCTTTGTCCTCATATCCTGATGTACTCGATTACCTCTATTTTTTAAGGAATACTGTACAGTACAAAGATAATATCATCCAAGAAACATACCTGACACAAGGGTATTACTGATGTGCTCTCTATGCTCCGAGGTGTTCATATGTCGGAGGTACACAAGCAACGTTCTAGCAGCAGCGAGTCGACATGGTATGGGCCTCTGGAGGTTGATAAAAGAAGTGTAAACTTCCAGGATATTCCTTTATAAATTTTTTTAGATAGTATACCAGTCATGTGCACTGGTCACAACCCAGTGCACTCTTGACACTGATAGTTGGAACAATTAAACAATTAGTAAATATCTTGATGCACAGTATCCCACACAACCTCTGCTACCCTCGTTCACTGTCAACCATGCTGGATTTCCCAAGAACTTCATGGTAGACTTAACTTTGCAAGAAATCTATTGGGAGAAGGAAGGGTTTCAGAGTCTCCTCATCACCAACTTGGTCAATTCCAAGAAGACTCGTGTATCAGTGACCAGCAACAAGAAAGGGAGGAGGTGGAGAAACAAAGATCCAAATGTAACAGAGATGTGCACCCTACAGGGGAAGGTGCACTAACTCAGTAGATTCAGTAAGGTGTTACATACTGACTTCATTTTTTCAAATTTATTCTTAGCTGTCAATACATTCACTTTTATAGTTTTATCACCCTTTTCAGTTCCCCCATAAATGCTGTTTGTTCTTTAAAACTGTGTGACAGCCATTCTTCTGATCATATATCTGTTCTTTGATTTCTTTTGCCATTCCTTACCCTCATATACCCTCCCTTTTAGACTAAAAATTGACAAAAAATTTATTTTCATAATACTGTACTTAATCCCACAAATTCAATCCTATGTTCAATGTGTAGAAAACACAAATAACTTGACATGTTTTAAGTAAAAATAATACTTACAGCTGTCTGCATCCTAATGAACATGAGAGGAACAAGCTGAGTAAAGATGAGGTCTGAAGGAAGACAGGGAGCAAGTGCTGCCGCTTGTGTGAGAGCTTCTGCATGTACCCGCCACAAGCTGGTTATGCTGACTGTCTCCTCTCCTTGTTTGATGGCTCCCACGAGTTCCATAAGTTCTCCTCTCTGTTCATGGTAACAAAAGTAATGTAATACAGGTACTTCATTTTTTATTTTTATCTACGTAATCTACTAGTATATAGAATCACGGTTTAAAATCTTCAACCTCCTCAGCATTACAGTACATACAGTATGGTTATTTCTTAGCTGCTGAAAAGCTTATTAGAGCACAAGAATTATCAAATGATGAGGTCAAGTTCGTTTTATCAAAAATTGCATTACTGTAGTATATCACAATAACAGTAAAAGGACTGAGACAAGATTGTTCCTTTAGAGTCACTGACTTGTGAAGATTCAACTTATGAGTTATTGTAACTAAATTATACAAACATACAGTATATATTAATAGGTTAAAGCAGTAATACATGATGAGCTTTGATCAATCTTGTGTTGTATTCTACTAAAAAAAATATGGATAGCATCCAAGTAAAGCAAGACCAACTCCCTGAAGGCTTAACTCAACACAAAGCTTTACCATTACAAAGTGACCAAATCTGTGTATTATCAATATGATTAACATACTACATTATCCTGGGATTTTATATAATATTCCCAGGATATAAACAGCAAGGCAGAAGGCCTGAATGAACTGAAACTAAACAGACTATAGTGGACATCTCACCTCTTCTGTAATTATCAGATTTAATATTTATGTGCTTACTTACCGGTGACTGTGGCGTGATTGCATTGTTTCTGTGCATGGTGGTGATGATGTGAGGAAGGTTAGGAATTAATGCAGCCAGTATGTCGAGATTTTCTGATCGCAACAACTGTAGAAGTCCCTCCTTCAGAAGCCCCACCTCACTACTCACCAATGTACACAGCTAAAATGGATGGAGACATAAAATTCAATTCTCAATTCAAGTCTTGTATCAAATTTCCTAAAAATTGCTTCTTCACTTATGAAAACATGACAAGATATCTTCACTTATATATCACAGAACATAATAAGGTATTGTAATAAAAATTTCTCAAGACATATAAACGAAGTCTTGACCCATTGAATGAATATGACCAAAGTGAGTCTCAACCATTACTAACATGAATGTGTATGACGTGAAAGAAACATCAAACAGTACCTGATGGAAGGCTGCTGCTACTGTTGTTCGTACTTGTTGACTGGGATCAGTAACAAGAGAGGAGACAGTGTCATGCAAGCTGGTTCGGTAAGTGGTTGAGCCTCCAGCAAAAGCCACCATACATGGCAGATTATATGCACACTGTTGTCGACACTCAGCCTCATACTCCCCACTGCGAACTTCAGCTACCAAGTCTGGCATCTACAAATATGACAGAAAATTGATGAAAGTAGCTTTAATTTTATAGATATAGTACTCAAATATAATTTACAAGTAACAATCTAGTGTAACTTAACCATGAATTTGAGTGGTGTGTGAGTGATGTCTTTAAAACTTCTAATTAACTGTCCATCAGAAGGAAAGATAGGATGATGCAGAATGAGAAAGAACTTGTTTGTTAAAAGAGTGAGACACTGCTGTATATATCTTATAATAAAGACAACTCTCTCTCTCTCTCTCTCTTACACACACACACACACATAGAAGCATGTATGAGCACTAATATATTTACAGTAATTGTATCAATATTTGTGGCACAATTACACAGTGTAAAAGAGAACAAATCAAAAGTTTCCTCACTGGAAGCTCTGTTTTTTTGGAATCTGGAAGTCCCAGTTTTGCAAGTGTACAGTAGAAATTAAGGAACCAGCTCTTCTGTTCTTCAGTAAGTTCATCTAGAAAAAATAAAACAATGGAATCAATTATTTAATCAATCAAGGTGCCATCCTCATATATTTCTTAAGTCAGTCATATAGTTCATATGATATTTAATTATCTTTTATTCTGAAAATGCATCTTAAACATACAATACTGAACAAAATTCTGCTGCTGCCAGCATGGCAGGGTAGCTTGAGAAACCAAGTGTATACTGCACATTAAACACTTTTTATAAATATCCCGACTTAATCATTACACAACAAATGGCTACTCACCATGTAGGCCGTGACATATGCGTCCCAAGAGATGAGCAGTAACAGGTAAGGAGGCATCTTCCACTCTCAGTGCTCGTTCACACACCTTCCGCACCAGAGGAACCAACGTTCCCACACGAGTTTCTAATTGATGAAAAGATACCCGAGAAAATAAAATTACACTATTCAAATCTATAGATCTTACTTATACTGTACTGTATTAGTAACTGCCGGGGTAAAATGGATGATGCACAAGTTGTAAAGATATTACAGTACAATACAATACTCTGCACCAATACGGTATACAATATTCAATACCTGTACTGTATTCCCAAGTGCAAAATCACTTCTATGCAATTGGGAACCCCCCAAAACACTTTTTTTTTTAATATCAAGATAAGCAACTGGGTGAAAAAATTTTTTTTTTACTGTTTTCAACATGCTTGAGAATCTGAGAAAATTGTACAGTAAATGTGTCATGATCAGATACAGTACAGTACTGTACTGTATATCTTTTCCAAACCCTTGAGTATACAGCATACACTTCTGATGTAAAAACCGAGGCTTCTTTTGGTAAGCTACCATTTTTAGTTAAAGATGTTATATTATATTCTGAAAGAGATTACAGTACTGTACTAAACTGTAGATTTAAAAGTTCCCAAAATAATTTAAATACTGCATTCCCATTTAACCAAGAGATTTAGATTATGATGTGAAATGCAGAATAAAACTGAACAAAGAACAGTACAGTACACAAAATAATACCCTTCAAAAAGATGAAACGAGTAGGTTGGCAAATTTTCATGAAAAATATTCACCAAATACAGTAGCATTCTGATAAAAACTAAGTAAAGAATCTGTACTAACCATCATCAAGCAAGGGAATCATCAAAACAACAGTATTTATCCCTGCCAACCGAACATTAGTCTCTTCATCTGAGCAGAGATCTACTAGCTCTGGGAGGATGTGGGTCTTGGTAGCATCCAGCCCCAGACCCCTGGCCACAGCAGCCAGTTGGCTACACATGCTGCCTCGCACCTCACCACACACATCTTGACACAAACTTTGTACTACACCAACAACCTCAGTCTTTAACCTATGGAAATGAAAATAAAAAATAGCAATATAAATGACAGTAAATATTATTATTTCATATCATGTAAATGAGACAGAAGATTAATACAAGAGCATACATAATACTGTAAGTGAGCGTAATTATAAAAAGATCATCTGGATAAATTACTGTACTGATAATACAGCTTTTTATCCAAAACTCTTCCCACTTCAGTACAGTGACAAAATTCAAGAGCAACAGAGACTCTGGTAAACTCATTCAATCTAGCTGCTGAAACAGATCTTTCCACAACAAGGCCCCAAGACTTCCACCTGGTTTACCACTATCATTTCACAGAACTAAGCAAGATAAAAGTACCTTTAATGATCTCAACATAGTGAATGAGGGAGCAAATACTCACAGAAATGGTTCAAACTTTGTCGCTATCTTGCCAATAAGCTTACAAGCAGCTAGACGGGCAGACACCTGCTGTGACTGTCCCTTGCTCACAGCCAGGGTTAAAATCTGAAAAATACAGCAATAAGTAAAAGTGGTTATTTGCAAGTACAATAGTAATGCATGTTTCTGATAATACTGTACTGCACAAAGCTTTATATAACACAATGTTCAAATGATGAATACTTCCTCATATGAGATAGGTACAGTACTGTACAAGGAATAATATAGCTACAAGTAATATGATTTAACTTTAAGCACATGATTACAAGACCACGTACCTCATCTTTAATGACTTCTTTTGGAAGAAGATCGATCACATCTAACAGAGTTTCCAGCCAAGCATTAGCTACCACTGCAAACAATAACAGATAAGTTAGTCATTATACTGTACTGTACAGTACAGTAATTCATCCCTCAGAGTAACCTTTTATTTAGAGTACTGTACAATAAAACAACATATGTAGCCTTGAGGCAGGTGACCACCATTAGTTCACGCTGTGCCCTCTCATCTGTACTCACTAGGGTCCTTGCTGTCAATGGAGGTAAGTATGGACTTGAGGAAGGTGTGTGTGAAGTTGGTGTGGGGTACGAGGTCTCCCTGAAGAAAGGAAAGGGCCTCCTGGGGTGCTTGTGAGGCCCCCTGTGACTCTATCCCAATTATTCCACCTCCCCCTTCACCTGCTCCTCCGCCCGCCAGCAGGGACAAACCACTATGCACCCTGCAAGTCATAAATACTTCACTGCAATTACATGATAATAATCAAACATTAAATCACAAATTTTTAATAATAGAGGTCATTATTAAAACTATGAAATTAGTAAAGAAACTGAAAAATGTGGACATAAGACTAGAGATGTTTAACCCCTTCACTTTTATTATATTATTTGGCTAAATCCAGACGATTTTATTCCGCTCAAAAGGGACCCTATAAACAAGGTGTTAATTATATATATACAGGTACAGTACTGTACTGTAGCATACAGTACTGTATCAATTATCTGTGCCTCAAAACTTTTGAAATCTCTAAATTTTCACCGCTGTGTGATCATACTGTATACCCCAGAATTAAACTCAATACCCGAAGGAGTTTATAGAATTGCAATAAAATTTCTAGAGATGTTATTTGCATGGTACTAAACAATAAAATGGAAACAACAATGCACAGAACCTGGCCTAACCAACTTAACCTACCTAACCTCATCTGACTTCCTTACCGAGGGGGGAAAAGACCCCTGGGCCTCCCCAGCATATTAAGCAGAAACTGGATATAGAATCTAGTTACAGATATACAACTGTTAATACAGTATGTTTATGGGTTTGTGGCTGAATAGCCTGGCTGTCTGATGTCCCGGCTGCATAGACTACCAGGCTATTCAACAGGTGACGGCTTAATAGTCAAAAAATTATTTTTTCCTATCATCCGAAGATGTTGAGGTACTGACACAGGCATCTGAAAGTGTCCCTATGTCGATTGGTCATGGAAGCTACATCCATGGCCAACCCTCCATCCTTGGCCAACCCTCCATCCATGGCCAACCCTCCATCCTTGGCCAACCCTCCATCCATGGCCAACCCTCCACCATGGCCAACCCTCCATCCTTGGCCAACCCTCCATCCATGGCCAACCCTCCATCCTTGGCCAGTGTTCATCACTTCCTCTGTAGAAGAGAAGAGGTACGCCTGGTTTCTGTGACTGTCTTTATCTCTGTAAGGAAAACTTAAGGCGAGTTTCTGGAGTGAGATAAAAAATCCTGCAATGGTATTTTTTTCTCAGAGTACAGTACTCGAGTTATTTATAAACCTGTTGTTTTTTACATTTACATGAAGTGGCCTCCCTACCATTTAAGCAAAAAATTTTCCAAATTTGCATTCGAATTTTACTTCCACCACCATGATTCGCATTATATGCATTAAATCAAACATATTACTAAACATCATGTCAAAAGTAAAAATATAAAATATCGGAGCTAAACTGGACATTTACAGTACTTCACCAGGGTCAAATGAAAAATAGCAGGGTCAAGGTTTTCTCAACTACTCACTGACCTTACGCAAAACATTTCAAGGTCGAATATGCCCTCCATGAAGGTAATAAGGAGAATGCCCGAGGTATAGGCAGTATTGACAGACGATCACTCAAGCCAGTGCCTTTCCCTTGGTAGCGTAACCCAAACTGATTCTTCTCCCTTCTTCTTGATGTACTTGACACTTGTTTAACGTGGCATATTTTAGTCAATGGCCGCATAAATAAACAAACATCGATTTGAAATAAACTAAAATAATATGCAGCAATGTTTGGCTACAACCAAGTTTCTGATTTCCTAAAACTAAAAAAAACTATGGCAATGATGTTTTTTATAACGTGTACTCATTTCATACTTCCATAACCAATCAAAGGATCACATATCTACAATATAGTATTTTGTTCAGTAGATAAAATAAAAGAAACTAGCCTCAAAATAGCATGACGATTTTTTCATAATATTAAAAAATTGAATTGGAGTACTCTACATTGCTTATTAAATTTTCGTGTCAATAATTAGTCACCGATAATCTACTATTTCTAACTTTCCTGCCACACACGTTGAAGAATATAAATAACTTAATATCGTAAAGGTCAAGCAAATGAATTATATTAAAACTAGTCGTAACCTCACTAAAACAACTCTTCAATATTTGACTCAGTAACACATTAAAGAAGGGAGCAGAGACTATAAAATATACACTGCCTCACTCGCCCTCCATCACCATAAAATATTTGTCTTTACTTATTATATTACAACTTATAATACTTAATTTAATGTACATAAAACACTGTTACTACATTCAGCGGAACTTGCGTAACACTGGAACATTAGAATATTCTGAAATTGTTATATTTAGCCATTTTCCCTTGAAACCGTATAAAAGAGCTATAACTTTCTTAACTGTTGTAGAATATAGAAGAAGCCTAATTGTAACTTGTAGAATAAACAGCAAGATACTCAGTAATTGTATTCTTCCCCTACCTATTACTGCAGTGGTGACTATCGTGGAGGAGAGGTCACAAGTGTTCCTCCACAACAGACGCTGGTACTTACACTTGCAGAAAGTGTAGTAGTAGGGCCAGATGTGTCTCTCATATACATATTCAGTCCCTTCCTACTGTGCCAGAGGTCTATAGCGCGCGCACACACACACACACACACACACACACGTACAAATGTGGCCACGATAATCTCTCCCATGTATTGTCTCTTTGAAATTTGTAAAAGTAATGCTGTAACATGTACTGTATCTGTACCCGTAACCTTGCTTCTAAATTATTCAAAAGAAGCTAAATGGACGTAGTAAATAATTCCTTAACACAACCAGCGGACAGGGTCACATAGGGCCACTCTACACACACACACACATACATATACGTGCAGCGTGTAAGGTCATGGGTCAGAGACGTTCACCTCATGCAAAATGACCGGTTACCAGGTCGTGGAGGTGAAGGTCAACCCCCTCGTTAAACTTGTTCCCTACTGTCATACACACAGATGGATAGACTAAAAAATGTGTTTAGGTCATTAATAACGCAAATACAACCTGCTACTACTGCTGCTACTAGTACTGCTACTGCTGCTGCTACTACTACTACTACTACTACTACTAATAATAATAATAATAAATAATTAAATAGTTAATAACAAAAGTCCCCGCCAGATGGCATGAGTCCACTGAGGGTAATACCTTTCGAATACGCTCGTGTGCTTGCGTAAGGAATTGCGTGCGTGCGCTTTGCTCCGTGGATAAGTGCCAGACGTCCCATACACCACCACCACTAACACCACTACCACCACCACCACCACTATCACCACTACCACCACCACCACCATCAACACAGTGAACTAACTCTCTTTTACCAGTTGGGCGCGCGTCGAGGCGGTCGGCTCGGCCCACTCAGTGACCTTGACATTACCCCTCTCCTTCCCCCCATCCCTCCCTCCCTCCCTCCCCCAGCCCTGCCCATCAATAATCACCACGCTCGTCAAACACACAAACACAGCCCCAATATTCCTTCCTCTTATCTAACTTTCCGTGCCAATAAACACGTTGTTTGTGAACTATTAACATTTGGGAATTGCTGTACCTGTACTTGTATCTTCATTTGTACCTGCACATCTGCTTGTACAAGTACTTACGAATTAAAGGGGAGTTAAATTAAACAAAACACACTGTTATTTCTATCTTCAAACATACAGAATCAGCTCGCGTGAACTATATGTGAGCTGTGAGGAGATAACGTAGAGATATCTCATGTGAGGACTGACTCTCTCTCTCTCTCTCTTATCTCTCAGCGCATGAGCCAACAGCAGAGCGTGGGAGAAGGAGGGCGTGTTGATGTTGACGAGGTTGAAGTAGAAGGATCAGGAGCAGGAGTAGAAGTAGCATAACCAGTAAGAGCTGTAGTAGTGGTAGTAATAGTAACATACTGTAAGTAGCACCAGTAGCAACAGAAGTATTATGAAGTAATATTTCTTATTTTTATTTACACCCCTTTAAAATATAAAAAAAATGGGAAAAAATCAAGAGGAAACAGAAATAACGCGATTTTTTTTTTCAAATTCAAACTCAACTCAAAATCATGCAACTACGAATGTTTCGATACAAAAGTTATTCACTAGACAATGTTTCGACTTTTAAACTTTATGTATAACCTTGACCTGCATTACGGACCACAGGAGTTTATTAATAGCTAAGGGAGACTAATGATAAATGGCCACGTAAAAAAATCTGGCGACAAAGGGATACGGCACTAAAAATCTGTCTCTATTTTTTTGGCAGCAATGGTCATATTTGTTGATAAATACATTTTTTATAAGAGATGTTGAGGAAAAAGGGAGGAAGGAAGAGGAAGTGACAAATGATAGGTGGGTTAAATAGTGGAACAGCAGCGGTGACAGTGACAGTAACAATGACAGCAGTAACAAGAGCAATTACTATCTACTTACTATCACCTCTCCCTCTCACTTCCCTTCTCCCGGGTTAGCTAAATAATCACACTCTCTTACTGTCCACACACACACACACAGATAAGAATGTTTCACTGCTTTTACAATAACTTAAAGATAACGATGATAACATTGTGAATCTTAAGAATAAAAAATAAAAATATATAAATGTTTGAAGTAACTCAGTGACATTGACACTAAAAGCAGGATAATGAAAGCCACCCACGTACACAGACACCCACGTACAGGAGTCAACGTAATTAACCCCATAAAGGTAAAAACACACCTGGAATGGTTGACAGGACGAAACACAGAGACATTTCAGCTGGTTCAAGGGAAGAGGACTGACGTCATCCACCCACGGGCTTACCACTGCTACCGACCCCCTCCCCCCCCCCAAGCCATCCTATACGTCATCCACCCACGCCTCACACCACCCACGCCATCGTTCCTCAGACCACCCACGCATTACGCGATATCACAGCAGCCGGCGCCACCCACACCCTGCCACCCACAGCCGCCCACGTACTACCAGGGTGACCTCTCCGCTAAGCGTGGGTGGCGGCGTCCGATCACTACTGCCGGAACAACTTTCTCTAACTCACCTACACCGCCGCCCACACTGCCACCCACACCGCCGCCCACATCCCCAAAACTTTCCTATTGGTCATTCGGGTCACCTGAAGATTCGCCCCTCCCCCCTCACCAGCTTATTTCATCTGAGGGTTAATCATCCTAA